TTAGTAGTCTGTACGTATGTCTGCAGTCTGCGGTCGATAGCCTGTAGTTGGAATAACGAATTTAACAAGAGAGTAAACATCAGACGGTGTATACAACCAAGTGGCTGAGGTATGCAGGCCTTTGCTGTGCCACAAGTGACGGGGCGGAGGAAGGCGCGTGGTCGAATGTCAAACGGTGATTGACCAGTGAATTGTTGGTCAGATACGGTCGTGGTTGGCTTAGACTTGGGTTGATGTTTCGCAGGATGCTGTGTGGTCGGGACTCGCTGCAGTACGTCACATGCAAAGAAACCAAGCAGGGCGAGGCAAGGGTCGGGAGCTCCCGACTGGACGGCAGGGTCCAATTGACGTCACGGCCTGCCATCGGTGACTGTCAAATTGTCCAAGATAGCGTGGCGTTGGGCTGAGGCGTTGTCTGCCTTGTTGGAGTGTGGTTGGGGGCGACCTGTCAAATGAGTGACTGGCCATGCACCATCTTTTTGTTGGTGTTGAAGACCATCGCCAGATGCCTCGGTGTGTGCGACGATTAGGATAGCAACGACTCGCATGACCCTGAGCTCTCGAGTCGAGTCTGGCTGGGCCCTGTCGTGGGCGGTGGCAGGGGTGTGCTGAGGGGATGCTTGGAACGCGATGGAATTTCTGTGGTGCAGCAGCAGCAGCAACTTTGCAGGCCTCAGCAGCACTGGGACGGGAGAGATTGATGAGAGCACAGATGGAAGCTGAAGTGGGCCCCACCACATGCACCTGACCGGCGCAAATCTGAACTCCACCGCCTTGTGTTACCCCTCCACTGAGTGCTGCCGGGTATGAGCTTCCCCTCCCCTCGCCTCTCCCCACGGCTCGGTCACCAAACAGTCAATGGCCCACGAGACTGCCCAAACCTGTCCGAATAATTAGGCGATGAATGGCTGGAGCTGGGGGACGGGAGACGAGCAGGAGGACCCGGGTCTCGGTCATTCCTCCCCCTCCTCCCCTGCGCCTGCTTGGCTTGGTAGCCGATGCAAGCTGCAGTCCTCTTGTTCTGGTAAAAGTCCCTGGGGTCCTTTTCTGGTTCTTGGGAAAAATGCGACCTTGTCTTTTTCCTGCATCCAACCTCGCACCACACGACAACTTTCCATTTTGCTGCGGGCACACATATCGACGCCACCTTTGTCTGTCTGTCTGTTTGCCTGCCTGTCCATCTTCGTCTGAACCTCCTACGCGGCCTCAGACCAGTTCCAGTTCCAAACCACCAATAACTTCGTACCTTACATACATGCTTTTGCTGTCATCCTTCCAACCTCTTGATCGATAAACCCTGCGCAACACGCAACTGTCGCCTTCGCCAACAACTTAGCCGCTGCGCCCATCATCCCATCCGTCTTATTCCTCCTCGCGCCCCAAGCTACACACCTACGCTGTATTACCTTACCCCAATAGCGCAGCGCCCCGTTATCCGTCACAAGCCAGAAAGGTACATCCCTAGCCGGGGGGCCCATCCCGTTCTTGCTGCCCCACGAGCCCCTCGTTGGCTCTGCTCCGATAAAACATTCTATCGTCCCTGATCTGTCTGCCCCGAGCGCCAGCCGCAATCTGTCACCTCTCACCTCACCGCACCACACACGAGACAATCTTCCATATTCCTCACTGACGACTGCTTCCGGCACCCCGTTCCGCCCCAGAGACGTTGTGTCTCTCTGACCGAGCCACTAGCACAACGCGCACAACAGTAATCCTACCCTGGAGACCCTTGTCCTCATAAAAGTCGCCTGTCGCTGTCGCGTGCCCTCGTCGCCACAATGTCCTCCTCCTCTTCTTCGCTGCATCTCAACGGCTTGCCTCTGCGCTCAGCCTTGAAAACAGACGACGAGACGGACAAGTCCTCCTCAGTCGCAAGTCCCGGCAAAGGTCAGTCTTGAACATTCGCCTCCTCCGTCATAACCTGAAATCATACAGGCCCGGCATCTACATCAAGTGGTATCGTGCTGCCCTCATGGGAATAAGAGAGGGCTCACGTCGATGTCTTTGGCAATCAGCTGCGGTGACCTCTCACTCAATGTTTGCCCGGGTCACTCAATGACGCTTCGCGCCTGTTTGCATCATACCTACCACCGACAAGGCTTGATGGACCGGTATCGTCGCTGGGCTTGTGATGTAATGAGCCAAGACTTGCTAACACCCTTACAGTCGTCCAAATCGCTGAGCCAGAGGCTGAGACTGTAGCTGCACCCAATGCTGAGCACCAGGCTCACCACAAGAGACAATACGCCGCCAACATGGCCAAGAGACTGACTGGCCGTCTGCCCTCTTTTTCCGAGTCCTCGTCCCGCTCATCCCCGGTTCTGGAGCCTGTTCAATCTCCCGAGGAAATCGCCGCCTCCCAGCAGCATCAGCACCAGCACCGCCATGGCCAAAGACATTTGTACCAGAGCCAGAAGCTACTGGCTCAACTGAGCGACTGGCTTGAGCATGAGAAGAAAAAGAAGGCTACTCGCAAGAGCAAGACTTCTCCTCGCCGCCGCTCTCCCCAGTCAAAGACCAAAACTGAAGCTCAAGCTGAGCCTGCGCCTCAGGCAGTCCCGCGCTCCCGATCTGACTCTATCGACTCTGACTCCAGCGACGTGTCATTCGACAGATTGCAAAAGATCATCGACGAAAGTATGGCGTCCTTGGGCATCAGCTCTGTCCCACAGTCTGGCCCCAGACTTGGTAGACGCACCTCCGGCCGCCTCAAGAAGTCCATCTCGCGCAGCATGCTTCATAGGACGGCAAGCTCCGATACCGACTACATCGATGGTGACGTTGTTGTTCCTACCTGCGATGCCGTCCTTGACAACTCCAAGACTCTCAGCTACAATGCGGGCAAGAGCACCGACGACCTGTCCCTTGGCGGCAAGGTGGACGACAAGGAGAAGGCCTGGGCGATCTTCAAGAATGAAATCGTGCGCCTCGCACACACACTTAGGATCAAGGGCTGGCGAAGAGTCCCGCTGGACTGCGGCAACCGTCTTTCTGTTCAGCGTCTGAGTGGAGCGCTTACCAACGCCGTGTACGTGGTTTCGCCTCCCACAGACCTGGATGACGCTGCCTCTGGCAGAAAGCCTCCCCCGAAGCTCCTCCTCCGAATCTACGGACTTGAGCACTTGATTGACCGTGAAAACGAGCTCAGCGTGCTCCGCCGATTGGCGCGTAAGAAGATTGGCCCGAGACTCCTCGGATGCTTCACAAACGGCCGTTTTGAGCAGTACTTCAACTCAATCACCCTCACGCCCAAGGATCTGCGAGAGCCAGACACGTCAAAGCAGATTGCCAAGCGTATGAGGGAACTTCACGATGGTATCGACGTCTTGGAGAAGGAGAAGAATGAAGGTGCTGCAGTGTTTAAGAACTGGGATACTTGGCTCGGTAACGTCGAGAAGAAGATCCTCGCTCTCGACGAAGACGTGCGCCGTGGATCTAGCGTCTTCTCCGGCCAAGGCTACGTCTGCGGCGTGGAATGGGCACAGTTCAAGGCTCTGTACGAGAGGTACCGCGAGCTGGTCGTCAAGGCCTACAAAGGTTCCCAAGGAATCCGTGAGCGTCTCGTCTTTGCCCACAACGATGTAAGCACATTTGGCCCCCCTCTCCCACGTCTGCAACTAACACAGATAGACCCAATATGGTAACATTCTCCGCATGCGTCCGGACGATGAAAAGTCCCCTCTTCTCCAACCAGCAAACGAACACAAGCAGCTCATCGTCATCGACTTCGAATACGCCGCAGCCAACGTTCCAGGCCTCGAGTTTGCCAACCACTTCACAGAATGGGCCTACGACTACCACTACGAAGCTGCACCCTATCTCTGCAACACGGCCCGCTACCCAACAATCCAGGAGCAGCGCCGCTTCCTCAAAGCGTACGTCGAGCATCGGCCACAGTACCCCCACGGCGGCGCCTCCACCCCTCGTCTCGCACCCGCCGATGGCGCTCCGGTAGGCAGCACCACGCCGGCTCTCCTCCCTACCACCTCATCCAGCTCCATCGTTGAGTTCATGCTCGACGCCCGCGTGCCTCCGGGACACTGGAAGGAAGAAGAGCGCCGCGCAGATGAGGCCATTGAGGAGGAGGTTAAGGAGCTCTATGAGGAGACCCGCCTCTGGCGTGGCATCAACAGCGCGCAGTGGGTCGCCTGGGGCATCATCCAGGCCAAGGTCCCTGGGTTCGAGTCGCCCGAGGAGAAGGAGCAGCAGGAGAAGCAGGCGCAGAACGAGGCGGCGGCCGCTGCGGGCGACGAGGCTGCCAAGGCGGAGTGTCAGGCCGTTGCGGAGGCCGAGGCCGAGGCTGGAGATGAATACGACTACCTCAGTTACGCTCAAGAGCGGGCCTTCTTCTTCCTGGGCGACTGTGTTCTGATGGGCATCGTCAAGAAGGAGGAGTTCCCGGAGGATGTGCAGGCCCGCCTCAAGGTTGTTGACTTTTAAGTTTATACATATTCTTATCGGGACGCTTCGCCCGCGTTATTCAATGAAAATATCAATGTTCAAAGACGGATGATTCAGGTGGCGCCCCTCGATGCTTCTGTTACCATAATCGCAATGTTGGGATCTATCATTGCTCACCATGTAAATCTTCGACACGCGTATTATGCTGAGCGAGATCTCAAGTGTCGAATCGTAACATGTGGTGTACGTAGTCGTAAGATGGACAGCGCGAAAAGAAACTCCACTTTCTAGTTTCCGTTTTGATTTACGAAAGTGTTGGGTATCGAAGACGATGGTGAGAGCGATTATGGCGACGAGGACAATGTGTTAGTCCAGTCCAGCATACACCTTTCCATCTTACATGTGATGGGTATGCCCGAGTCAGGAACTTCACTCACATTGTTGGACTGAGGGCATGACTAGTACGGAGGCGAACGCGGAATGCAGAGCTCACAAGTCAGGTATGATTTCGGTGAAAGGGTAGTTCTTGTGCCATTATTACTTCACAATACATTGTTTCTACAAAAAGCAGCCACCCTGGCTGCGTGCCTATGTGGCGTCTAGCCCATCTTGTTGTATCTCTCCCGGGCTCTGTCCTGCACCGTGTTCACGTACTCGGCATAGCTGTTCTTCGTCTTGCGCTGAGCCAACTCCGCCGCGTCGCCTAGGTTTCCGCCCTCCGCACCGAGACCAACGCCTTCCTGGTACGCGTGTGTCGCAATCACCTCGGTGCGTCCGTCGGCGTTGGCGCCCAAGCCCTGACCGGTGCTCCAGCCCATCTTGGCCAACATCCCTGCGCCCTTGGACGGCTGCGGAGGCGGCGTCTTCTCGGCGGCTGCCCGAGACGGCTTGTCCTCCCTTCGCGCAGGCTTCGTGTTCTGAGCCAAAGGTTTGGGTTTGGATGGCTGGTTGAAGACCTCTCTGCGTTCCTTCGCACGGTCGCGATATTGAGGGCCCGACTCTTCGTTCTTAGCTTGTTCCTCGGTCGGCTTCGACATTCTCTTGTCGCGGGCGGCAAGACGAGGCTTGGCAGCCTTAACCTTTTCCTCGTCTGCCATGGCATTTTTGTGGTTTCTTGACTTCTCATGAGTGTTGAGGTCGTCCAGAGACTTGTACTTCATCATGCATAGTAGACAGCACACCTTTTCCCTGTCGACGTATGATACTGTCGGCGAAGCAGGCTGCTCGGGGCTTACAGCACCAGTCGAAGTAGGGGCCGTCGATGGTTCTGCCGAATGTGATGTCGCGGGCGGGGCAGGGTTGGACAGACTCGCTCCTGTCAGCGAAATCTTGATTGGGCCAGTCGAAATGGCATTGGCCCCAGACAAAGATATCTTGACTGGTGCGCGCTCTTCCGCGCTGCCGTCACCATCGGCAGGGTCTGTAGGCTTCTTGCCTTCATGGATTTCGTCGTGTCGTCTCTGCCAAAAGGCCATCTGCCCCGCCATTGGCGCGGACTTTTTCGTAGCTGCAGATGCAAGGCTTCCTTCAGCCTTGCGCTTCTTGGTCTTCTTCGCCTCATCATTCGCATCCGTCTTGTCGTTGCTGGATGTACCTCCTGGAGGTGTCTCAGTGATGACCTTCTCACTGGGAAACACATGGGGCTCCCAGTATTTGACTCGAATGGCTGGGTTGAAAAGTGGGTTAAACGAGATGTGTTCGATGGCGCGCGTGACGTCTCTCATTTCAGGTACGAATACACCCAGATGGATGGTCGATACCGTGACTGGCTTCCCGGCAATGGTGAACTCGCGCATCATCTTGAACTTTTGCATGGCGGCAAGAGCATCTTCGACCGTCCAGAACTCGGCAAATCCAAAATTGAATGATTCGTTCGTGTCTTGATCTCGCATCAAAAAGATGCGATGCAGCGAGCCAGGCTTCGCGCCATATCCCGATGCATCGCCAGTTGGCGCCGTGGACTTCAGCTTTGGTGGTTCTCCAGAGTTCTTTGGCGCCGCGGGCTTTTGCGCCAGTTCCAGCTTTGCAGCACCGGCGGCAAGCACGTCTTCTGTGACAGAGCCCGCAAGTGGAAAGAACACCAGAATCTGGGATGGCGTATCAGCTGCATCGCTTTCGCCGGTCAGGAGGTGACGGTATTGAGACGGGTCTGTTACGGTCAGTTTCGGGCCTTCAGCAGCATGTCGACATCGTATCAAAAATACCTGTTGGTGGGCCGCCGCAGTTCTTGCAGCGATTCCTAGTGGAATAATTGGAGAACTCGCAGTTCGGGCAAGTCCAGTTCGGGGCATACCCAGCCTTGCTCTCCCGTTCGCCGTCGTCACGGTTCCTCGCGTAGTGTATGTACATTGAGGTCATACCATCGGCATCACCATCAACCATGCCTGCGAAGTCAAGCATGAGCTTGGGATAGTGCTCCTTGACAAATTCGACCGCCTGGTCAACCTGCTCAAACTGCACGAAAGCACGTCGCTGGCCTGTTACGTGTCAGCAAGGGAGAAATCGTGTCTTGGCAGCTAGCCTGTCTTACCTCGGCCAGATGGAACTCGAACTTCAACCGAAGGGTATTGCGATAAATCCGTTTGTCTGAACAGACAGTCCTTAACGTCTTCCAATGACAGGCCCGTAGGCAAACCCTCAAGGATCACAGTATCACTCGGATTACCAGCTTGTCGAAGAGGCGATGCAGAACGATCGCGACGAGAATAACGACCTGGGCTGCCACCTGGAGAGGGGGAAAAATGACGAAAATCCTCGTCAGGACCACGTCGGGCATCATCGCGGCGAGGGCCATCGTCGTGGTAAGGGCGAGAGTAGCTCCGGCCACCTCGATCGTAACGACGTGATCCGCGGTCGTCGCCGTCATATGGGTGAAATATCTCAGGGTCTTCATCACGGCGATCCAAATGGTCATCCCCACGACCGCCTTGATCTCTCGATCCAGGACGTGGCTGGTAGGCCTCACGCGCCGATCCATTGTAGTAGCGGTCGTCTCTGGCGCGGTATTCGTCTTCTTCTCGGCCACGATCACGGTCCCGATCCCGGTAGCGGGTCTCCTCGTCGTCGTAGGACAGCTCGTGGTGGTTATTCCTGGGTGGAGATCTAGAATAGTCTCGTCGGCCCGTGGGAAAGTTAGCGGAAGCTCAAACCAGCCAGATGTTCTGCAGATGGTCATGTCCTCCGCAGGCTCAGCTTAGTTTCTTTACCCTGCCGCGTGCGATAGGCGTCGTTGTTTGGATATTGCTGGTGATCTCTCGGAGGGGATCTTCGTCGGTCGTGAGGTCCCCTCTCCCTCGAGCGATAGGTGTCCTCGTACATGTTCGCGGATCGCAGGATGGGGCGTGGGTGCAATGCGAACTCGGGAGCGCAGGATGCGTTCGGTGTTGGTCGTTTCGGAAGGAAAGAGCAGAAAAGCGGAAGAAGACGAAGAGGGAGGAAACGGGGGTTGAAAAGGGCAAGGCGCGGCGCCGACCCCAAGAGGCAGCGACGAGACCGTGCCTTGTGATTCCGTCGGGTGTTCGGCGCGACCAGGATGCGTTCCTGAGTTTGCAAGAAACAGAAACAGAACGGTGAGGTTGAAGAAGGGACGATCCACCAAGAAGCTCAACCCTTGCGTGCCAGTGGTGTGCTGTGGCTGCAACCAGGTGCCACCACCACCTTCCCTTGCCTGACCTTATCTTTAAGGTAAAATGCTTCGAGGCTCAATTGGAACACTCTTCTGCTTAGTAAAGCGGGGTCCGATAAGCTTGTTGGATTGTTGATCCGTGCTTCACCCGCCAGTACGTACCCTCAGGTCTCCCTCCCGCCCTGGGGTCACTCATTCAGCATCTCCGAGGGCATTAATTCGGTCGTCATGAGTAGACTTTGTCAACGCAAGATTATTGATGAATGCTAGAGATCGCTCATTGAGTGAAATTATCGGCTGCGAAACCTGATATCCTTCCTAGCACCAGCAGGTCGTACAAGAGACAAGCGCTCTCAATCGGCGCTACTGTGGCTTTTGACCCCGCCATTCTACGATCTCCCAGAGGCCGGGCTACCGAGCGAACTCGCACTTCAACCAACCTCAAGGACACGGAAATATTCACCAGAAACCCATTTCAACGCCTAATCACCTCATCGGTTCGTCATGGACTCTCAAGATCAAGGTCCTTGGGAGGTGGCGGAGAACAGCTGCTACGTCGCACTCACGTACGACCTCCTCGATGCTGCGGCTGTGATGGACCGGGTGCGCTCACCACAGGCCGGCGCCATTGTCCTCTTCTCCGGCACCACGCGCGACACATTTGGCGACAAGCCTGTCAAAGAGCTGCAGTACAGCGCGTATACGCCACTCGCTCTTCGCACAATGATGTCCATCGCCAAGTCCATCCTTCAGAAGCACGGTCTCAAGGGCGTCGCCATGATCCATCGGCTCGGCACAGTTCCCATTGGAGAGGAGAGCATCCTCATAGCAGTGTCCTCGCCGCACCGGCAGGCAGCGTGGAGAGCCGGCGAGGAGGCCCTGGAAGAATGCAAGGCCAAGGTCGAAGTCTGGAAAAGGGAAGAGTTTCATGGCGAGGAGGGCGTATGGAGGGCAAACCGGGACGGCATCGCGGGCCAAAAGATCACTGAGGAGCAGAATGTTCCTGCAGAGCAGAATCCGGATGCTGCGCCGCCCCCTGCTTCTCTCGGCCCAAATTGCTGAAGCTGGATATCGAACCCCACCTACACGCTCAACCGGGCGACGGATCTAGAGTTAATTAGGCTGTTGGCTTCGGACATCGACTGCAAAATACGAAGTAAGCCCCAGCTTCATACCCGGCTCCGTTGTCTTTCAAAAATCATGGTCAGCTCGGCGCCTGCCGAAACATGCGAGGTCTATAAAATCATTGGTTACGATGGGGGCTCTCCAGGGTGCCAATGTTATTGAGAGGGCAGTGCAGAACCAACAACCATCGACAGCATTTCGAATCGGTCTATGATGAGCATCATCGCATCCTTCCTGTCGTCTTGGCTATTAAGAAGCTCAAAATCGGGCTTTTTCAGGGGAACAAGGGAATCCATTCGGTTTACGGATACAATCAGGTGGATTGGATCAAGCATGTTGGTGGAATAATCATGCGGTTGAAGCTTGACCCGCCTCGCCCTCCACCATCGTCTTTCGCGAGCGCTGTGCCGCTCATGCGCGCCGACATGATACGAACAACCAGCCTTCGCTTCCAGGGTTCGGACAATCCAGGCAGACGCATTTGGACTCGTGGGTCACCTGGTAGCCGACTTGTACAGCCAGCCAGCCTGGTCGAACTTCTCACCTTGTGGAGTTCGTGATCAGTTGTTTTCCTTCTTTCACCTCAGCCTGTCGTGGCAAGGTCGCAGTGAGCTATCGCAACAATGGCTGAAAAGTCAATCTACCAAGTCAACCAGGCCGAAAAGATGTCGGCTCGTGAAATAGACCACGGGCCAGAAGTCATACCGGATCAATACTACCACATCAAGACACCAATATCCCCCACATTCAACGGGGACGAGAACAAACACTACTCTCAGCAACCACAACAGCCTGTGAATACAGAAAGGAGGATATGTGGTTTACGGAGGACGAGTTTCTTCCTCTTTGTCGTCCTCGCAGCAGTGGTCATCGCAGCATCAGTGGGCGGAGGCGTTGGCGGTTCGTTGGCGGTTTTGCGCATGAAAGAGTGAGCAAATTCTACGCACTTATACGCCCCGACCCTAGATTTTAACATAAGAAACCTAGGCAGACTCAAGCAGAAGTACAAGCGAGTGCCGCTGCCAAAGCGACAGCGACGGATTCGCCAGTGGCATCGAGCACAGTAACGAGCGTCCCCGCGACGGGCACAAACACTCCGACGACGGGTTCGACGCAAACCACAGCAAACGCTGCCAGCATTTCCATCCCGACAACAGGTCTGGTGACGACAGGAGACCTACAGATCAATTGCCCGAATTTGACGGGCAGGACGATGTCTGTGACCGTGGGAGGAGTCAAGTCAAACTACGACACCGAGTGCAATGTCGACTACACGGGTGACGATGTCGATGTCATGGCATTAGTATCGTACACTCTGGACACCTGCATGATGGCTTGCTCATCATACAATAAGAACATCAACGGCACCAGCGAGAGGTGTATCGGAGTGCAGTTCAACGGGGTGATCGACATCATGACGAAGAATTACGGCGGAAATTGTTTTCTGAAGAAGAACACTGGCACGAAGGAAACGACAACCGAAACATCAACATCGATTATCAAAAAGTATAATATGCATTTAGCGGCTATGCTGAGTTGATGGAAATCCTGAAAACAATGAGAGATTAGGATGGGGGCTTCGGGCGTTGTTTTGGTCAGGTCATGAATGACATTTGCTGGGCTTAATGATATCACACAAATACCATGCGATTTCTTATAACATCTCAAACGAAACAAATCTATCAAGGCGGATCGCACCTCCTGACTCAAAGAGGAGTTCTTGAGGCGCACCGGTGAAGGGGAGGAACCGCTAAGAGGACGTGACTAAGCAGATTGGTGTTGAGTTTAATCTGCCACCCCTGGACCCTGGGCATTTCCCGCTCCTTCTTCCTCATCTAACGCGAACCACAACTGCCACCGATACGCACCTGACAAGAATGTGGCATCCACCAGCCTAACTTTGACAGGAACGCCGCTGGTCCCAGCTTTCATGTCAATCATGATTTCGAAGGCTCTCCCTGTGCGCTTTCCAGTCAAGTTTCCTCGGCACGGATGCCCCGGCTGAGCCTCACCCGGCGAGGCGACCTGTCAGGTGTTTCCCAGCCAAGCGAGAGCTGAGGACCTTATGAGGATGTGCTGTGCCTCTCTAACCACCTCGGGTTGGCGCGACAATACAATCTCTCCAATCTGGGCCCCAGATGCCTCGTAGGTGGCGCGACCATTTGCTGCAAGTTTTAGCCCGAGAGAAAGATGCACTTAGCCCTGCTGGGCGCCCAGCTCTAGGGACGCTACCCCATAATCACGGCTGAATCCACAGTCCGCCCGACGAATGCTCTGACGAGACTGAAAAAGGCATGCGACCCGGCCTTTCTGCGCCGTTGGTTCTGTCTCCGGCGGGATCCCTTGCGTTTGCTTCTTCGTTGTTGAACCTTCGGCAAGCTGCCACACGCATGTAGCGTTGATTGCCCGGATACCCCAATATCTCCAACATCAATCGAGCTTCTCCGCACTGCTTGCTGTGGGGGTGGAGCTGCCACAGGGACCAGCCATCACATCTTCGGGCTAGCTACGCGGCCTCTGGACCTTGACGAGACTGCCAGACAACCACGATGAGGTTTTCAATAGCTGTGTTCTTTGCGGCGTTGGCGGATGTGGCGGCTTCTCAATTGGTGGTTTCAACCGACTTCAAGAGGGTCTCGTTTCCTCCGGATCTGGTGCAAATCACCCGTCGCGATACTTTCGATGTCACAGCCATCAACAATCTCACCGGCGGTGGCTACTATTCCGAAGTCGAAGTCGGCACGCCAGGCCAAAAAATGCTCATGCATCTGGACACGGGCAGCAGTGATACCTGGGTGGTAGACAAACAGGCGGACCTCTGCAACAGCCCACGCCTGCAAAGGACGTACGGCACTGGTTGCACTAGCACCTTTGACACGACCAAGAGCTCCACCTACGAGCTTGTCACAAGGAATGGCTTCGATATCACCTACCTCGATGCCAGGAACATCCAGGGCGACTACATCTCAGATACAGTGAACATCAACGGGAAGAAGGTGTCGAGCCAGCAGCTGGGCTTGGCCATTCAGACGGTTAAGGGATCTGGCTTGATGGGTCTGGGTTTCTCGACGGGCGTGTCCACAAGACGGAGTTATCCCACGATTCTCGACAACATGGTTTCGCAGAAGTTGATCGGCCGGAAAGCCTTCAGTCTATGGCTGGTATGAAGCTCCAATGTGTTTGAAGGACGGCCATGCTAACGGCAGTTCAGAACGACCTGTCTTCGTCAGAAGGGACGTTGCTCTTCGGTGGCATCGACACTGAGAAGTACATTGGATCCCTCACAACACTGCCCCTGGTCGATGACTACCACTCCGAGCGTATCACCAGCTACAGCGTCGCCATGACCGGCGTCTCCCTCGAAACACCCGACGGAAAGATGACAGAGTTGGCTGCGGAAAACTTCAATGCTTCGACCGTCCTTGATTCCGGCTCAACAGTCTGTCTGCTTCCTGACAAGATCGCCAACCAAATCTGGGAGAAATATGATGTCATCGACGCCGGCTACGGCTTCGTGGACTGCAAGTGGAGGGGACCCGACGGCGAAAATCACTTCCTTGACTTCGAGTTCAGCGGTGTCACGATTCGAGTACCCCTCGAGGAGATGGTTCTTGACAATCTCGACCCGATCATGGATCAGCTGGAAGGACTGCTTCCGTTCGATAATCCGTGCATGTTCGGTATTCAGAGCAACTCGGCCTTCGACATCAACAGCAGCAGGTTCGCTCTTTTGGGCGACACGTTCCTGCGAAGCGCGTATGTGGTATACGACGAGACCAATCAGCAAGTCGGCATTGCACAAGCAAACTTGAACTCGACACGCTCCAATGTCATTGAGTTGCGCGCAGACGAGACCGCCTTGCCAACGGCCACTGGCGTGGCCAGTCAAGTATCAACTGCAGCCCCGACACGGACAGCCAGTGGAAGTACGGGCGGGAGCGGGGGCGGAGGAAGGGAATCGGGATCGGGCGCGACATCAATTTTGGCCACGCCTACACCGAGCGCAACCGAGAATGCTGCTTCGCGGCCAGGCATGGCACCTTTGGGGTTCGATGGAACCATTGTGGCAGCACTTACATCCGTCTTCGCCATTCTTGGCGCGGCGCTTTTAGCAGTTTAAGCTGAGAACGCGAATAACTTAATGTATAATACTAATATTCTTACAGAGCAATGAATTGATCATGGCCAGAAGCATAAGCAAACGTCTCACCAGAGTGCCCTATCTGCTACATCTTAGTCTGGTGTAATGACATGATTCAGGTCTACATGAAGCTCAAAGCGCAGTGGTAGAGTTCGAGCCTTCAACGGCTACCTCACAAAACTGTGGAGCGGGTACACCCGATGGGGAAATTTTTTTCATGCACTTTTCGTCACCCGTCCCGATCGGCCGGCTTTTCACCTCACATCTCATCCCGAACTCGGCATCAGCGACCCGTTGACTCATTTCAAGGACCTCTCAAGCTTCTCTCATATTAGGCGTCCAGGCCAACTTGTTCTAGATCACCCTTTCTCCCAATCTCACTCACCAAGCTTCCCCCAGTCCATCTTGGCTCTGCCCCTCCATTACCCCTCCAAAAGTCGACTTACCCCTCCACCCCACCACATCCTAGACCTACAACAGCAGCAGCAGCAGCAATGGCGAGCATCACCTCCGTCGACCTGACGAGCCTCAAGAAGATCGGTCAGGGCAAGGTCCGCGATGTTTTCGAGGTCGACGACAAGACCCTCCTCTTCGTCGCCTCCGACAGAGTCTCTGCCTTTGACGTCGTCATGCAGAACGGCATCCCCGACAAGGGCGCCATTCTCACCCACGCCTCAGTGAGCTCAGCAACAAACCCGCGACTTGCCGAATTCACCGTCGAGCCCCTCCGCTGACCAAAAACTTTTTTAATGCCAGGCCCACTGGTTCAAGGTGCTGACGGACCGCGTCCCCGGCCTGAAGACCCACTTCATCACCCTCGACCCTCCGGCCGGCCTCCCCGCCGCCGACGCCGCCCTCATCAAGAACCGGGCCATGCAGGTCCGCCGTCTCAAGGTCGTCCCTCTAGAAGCCATCGGTTCGTGGAAAAGCCCATTTCTCATCTCACTCGCTGCATCAAGGTTAATAAAATGATAGTTCGCGGCTACATCACCGGCTCCGCCTGGAACGAGTACAAGTCCAAGGGCACCGTCCACGGCATCGCCATGCCCGCCGGCATGCAGCAGTCCGAGGCCTTCCCCACGCCGCTCTACACGCCCAGCACCAAGGCCGAGCAGGGCGAGCACGACGAGAACATCCACCCGGACGAGGCGCGCCGGCTCGTCGGCGCCAAGGTCGCCGACCGCGTCGAGGAGCTCGCGCTGCAGCTCTACGCCGCGGCGCGCGACTACGCCAAGGAGCGCGGCATCATCCTCGCCGACACCAAGTTCGAGTTCGGCGTCGACCCCGACACGGAGGAGATCGTGCTCGTCGACGAGGTGCTCACGCCCGACAGCAGCCGCTACTGGCCCGCCGACAAGTACGAGGTCGGCCGCGACCAGGAGAGCTTCGACAAGCAGTTCATCCGCAACTGGCTGATTGAGAACGGGCTCAAGGGCAAGGACGGCGTGAAGCTGCCCGAGGAGGTGTGTCTGGCGACGGCGGAGAAGTACAAGGATGTGTTTGTGAAGTTGGTTGGGAAGAGCTTTGATGAGGTTGTTGCGCAGGCTTAGGGTGAGTTCTCGGTGAGTCATTTTCGAGTTTAAGGGATGCGATGTTACCATGGAAGTAGGATAAACAAAATTTGAGAATTGATAGGGCTACTTGTACCGCCGGTGTCTGATTCAAAACGCCTTGCTGCTGCTGTTATCGTCGTCTATGGTCTTCGTCGTCGTCCCTCCTCGTCCATCTCATCAAAGTCACTAAGCACACAGTAAATATCGCCGTCCAGACACAGGAAAATGAGATAATCTCTATAGTAGTATATGTATGACTCTTGAGTGATATATAGCCTGACGGATACTCCTTTGCGTTCCCGCCATTTTTATCGCAATCCACGCCGCCTTCATCGTTAACGTCGCAAATCACTCCATCAGCACCATGTTGTACTGGCATATTTGCTTTCAATTAATGATGTCCATCGTTTTGTCAATTCCCATATCTATGTACGAACAGACTAATCAGAAGTTGGAGCCCCCAGTTGCCCAGGCGGTCGATCCAAAGGGTTCATACCCCTGCTCGTCCCTCCCGAAGTCATCGATGAGAGTATCGAAATTGAAGGGCGTTTCATCAGCTCGTAATGCGTTATGCGAATCGAGGGATCTTCCGAGATTGGCACGTTCGTCAGGCTGATTTCCATTGTGCGGCACTTCGCTGAAAGTCGTTTCATTCGGGAGATTGAAGAGATTGCAGTCAATGTGCCCCTGAAACCAACCTGCGTCGCAATGTTCAAACCATTCTGTAGCTGAAATTATCTCATGAATGGATTGGAATGGCTCCTTTGAACGCCCGCGCGCGGCAGAGCATTGAGCTTCCGGGATGCTTTCTTCTGTCTCAATGGCGATATTCTCATTTACGAGCCCATCAGCCATTGACTTCTCAGGATGCACAACGCTCTGTTTGCCTCGGGAGAGCTCCTTGCTCTCCCTGATTTGTTGTACTCTTTCCTCGAAGAAATTCTCAAACGTATGGAGAACCTTTTGTCGCTTACGCTTTTCCAAAGGGCCACATATACGCTCCAGCTTCTTAAACATGCGATCTTCTGATTCAGAGGGGATGTCGCTGAAAATGCTCTCGACGTCGCTCTGGTGCATGACTTCTGTCTTCTGATCCGCGGAGCGGTCATCAAAGTAGGAGTAATCTAATCATTGTGAGTTAGTTCGTGGAGAAACAAATGTCACAGGGGTCTTCTTACATGGATCAGGGCAACGCGTCGCATCTGGAAATACGATCCTGAATATTTCCTGCCACTTCTCTTCGTTTGTTGTGACACCGGGCTTGCGTTTCTTGCTTTTAAGCTTCTGGAATTGCTCAGAAGTGAGCCCTTCGATAGAGACGCCATCGATGAAGTCACAGCCCTGTCCGGGATGGCTTAGGTGTGCCTTCACATCCGAATCTTTCGTAAATGTCTCTTTACATCGAATGCAGTGGGGAGACTGCTTGTGGACTCTGTAGAGATGTTCTCTAAGGCAAAGGTCAGCCTTCCACTGTTCAAAGATGAAGTGCGAGACAAATTGCCTTACTTGAGACGGTGAATTGTTGTGTAGGCCGCGCCCCTGCATCTATGATGAAATCTTTCCGGTTCATACTTCAGGTATGGGCAGGCAAGACGACGAGTCGCTTTTGATACGGTGACCTCTTCATTCCAGGATTTACTGTGTCGAAGTAATGATGGCTGGCGGTCATTGAACACAAGCCTCTCATCATCTAACTCATCTTCATTTGAACAACTCCGAAGTATTCCTTTCCTGACAGATGTCCCTTGGGTTTCTGCTCTTGGATGCTGAAGTTTCTGGGGGATTTCGGGGACAACGAAGAGTCCGTCGCCAGACTTGCGTAATGATCGCGACTGCTGTGATATTTGGACGTCGCGAGACAACAAGGATTCGGGAGCATTCAGTTGGAGGTCAACAGCGTTCGTGCATACGGGATTGGTGTCAGCGATAGAGATGTGGAGCGGGTCCTGTGTGGCTGCACGATCGACTGGCTGCTCATCGTCGGTCGCTGCCTGCGTTTCAGCACTTCCACCGCCGCTATGCCCATCCTCGATTCTCAGATTCAAAAGTCTCTCTGAGAGATCATGCGATCCATCAATCTCCGCGCTGTGACGATGGATCCTATGTCGGGACTCGTCGGTTGTTGAGCTCAGGAGCCTTTCGGTGACTAGTCCACGACTTGTGTCTGAACGATCCGAAAGGAGCCCGCCGCCACCTCCTCCTCTTCCATCAGAATACGGAGATACACGATAGAGAACACAATCTTCATCGCTTAAAAAGCCAAAGAAGTCATCGAGCACGAGATTTGGCCAGATATCCGGCATTGTGCTGTGAATTGCTGATTTTTTGAAACTTTGCGAGATTGCGTGCGATGAAAAGGGTATGATTGTGTGTCACCTAACGATGGAAAGTATTGCTCTTTGAGAGATGAAGTTTCGGAACCTTGAATTGAAATTTCGCCAGAATTTAAGGATACTGGTATCGCGCGGATTGGCAATTCCAGCTCAGCGCATACTGACCCCTGCTCGGTTTTGCGATCATGGTTGGCTAGGTATGAACCTATGAGCTTGGCCAACGAGACGATTATGTTTGTCCGAATGGCGAATGAGACGTAGGCCACATGAACTGAGCTGCAGCTAACCAGCATATCATATGTGCCCAACGCCCAACAGTTCAATTGACAAACCATATCCCATAACCAGCTCTCTAATCTCTCTACTTCTTAACTAATCATCTCTACCTTAGACTTCTCACCAGTGGTTCTTCTCTTATTGCGAAAGCCAGAACATCTCCTTGGAGAGGGAAACTGTATGTACAAATCGTTTCTACATTATACTAGAGGACTACGTCACTCGTACCATTGTGATCATTATGCGTATCTCATCTTCGATACTCCTGTATAGCCTCGTAGCGTCATCCAAAACTCAGATCACAGGGACGAATGATCACCGATCCAAACTCATAGAGGGCATCAAGACTCTCAACGATACTTTGGGACGTCGCGTTCACCATGCCGAACCGTTTGCCCTTGCTTGCTTCACCTCCTTTAAAGGCGCCGCCACATCACGAAATGAATCACTCTGTGCGGAGCGCCAAGAGAACTATCACTCTCCAGTATACCGGAGCAACGTCGCTGCCGCCTACATGTACGAACAATCCACCATCTGCGCCTCCGACCCCCTATCGCAAGACCAGTGTCTTCTCAACACCACTGACCCCCTCGATCCTGATGCATGGAACGGTGTCGACTGCAGGCTTGGCAACCTGCCCTCGTGGTGGCTCGAGGTGGAGGAAGCCGAAGACGTCGTCGAAGCGTTTGATTGGGCTCGCAAAACCGGCGGCAAGTTGTCCATCAAGAACAGCGGACACAGCTTCGTCCTAGACAGCAGCATGAAGGACTCTCTGCTCCTATGGACGCGAAACTTGCGTCATGTGCGTCATGAAGCCGACTTCATCCCGGAAGGATGTCCCGATGAGCAGTCTTTTGATGTCATCACAACCGGTGCGGGCGTCAGCTCCGCCGAGGTTTACGAGTTCGCGGACTCAGTCGGGCGAACCATCCTCGGTGGATACTCACCGACCGTCGGGATATCCGGCGGCTGGGTCCAGGGCGCTGGTCACTCGGTACTGTCAAACGTCTACGGTCTTGGTGTCGACCGCGTTATCCAGTTCACTATCGTCACGCCTGACGGCTCCACACGGGTAGCCAACCGCTGTCAGAACACAGAGCTCTTCTGGGCTCTCCGGGGCGGAGGAGGCGGCACTTTCGGCGTTGTGCTGGATTCTAGCCATCTTGTAGAGCCTGTGGTGCCCATGGCTGTCGCGGATATAGGCGTTACTCCGGATGACAAAGACGTGTACGGCGAGTGGATGAACCTTCTTGTCGACACTGCCGTGGCTCTCGCCGATGACGGCTGGGGCGGGCATATATACGGCAACTCTCTGGTGCACGTCTCGCCTCTCATGACTAACATCGAGGAGGCGGAGGGGTCTCTGTCGAAACTCATCGCTTTTGCGGCTGCGCACGGCGGACACGCCAACATCACCATAGCGCCAAACTGGCTGAGCTTCTTCAAAGACCACGTCCTCGTCGACTCCATCGCCGTCGGCAACCTCAGGCTGATCAACACCCGCCTTGTGCCCGTCGATATCTTCACCAACACGACCCTCCGCGACGGTCTCAAGGGCTTCTTGCGCGAAATGATCGCCCAAGAAGTGTCGCCGTACATCCCCGTCGACTCGCCCTACCTCTTCCGCCCCGACGCACTAAACCCGTCCGCGGTGCATCCGGGCTGGTACGACTCGTTGTGGATGGTGGGACGGCCGTCGCTTTGGGAGTGGAACAGCACCTTGGAGGAGCGGGTGGGTGTGGTGAGGCAGATGCAGGCGAATACAGAGAGGCAGCGGGAGGTTACGCCGGGCGGGTTCACGTACATGAACGAGGCTAACCCTTTCATGAGTGAATGGGAAGAGGCCATGTTCGGGGAGAACTACGAGAGGTTGTTGGAGGTCAAGAAGATGGTTGATCCGGACGGGTTGTTGAGCTGTTGGAGGTGTGTGGGATGGACCGATGAAGAGGCGCTGGCATCTTGTTATGGGGCTTTCAATGATGTTCAAACGGCATGAACACACTGTTGGAGCGAGGGAAGCTGTCATCCCTTGATATTCACTCCTACCTTGACTCACGTGAGAGTGAGGTCAGTTCCATAGAGTTGGCATATACCTAGACTCATCAGTTCATTTCCAACAAAAAAACTGAATCTCAACACTTCAATTCCCGCAACTAGTGCTACAGAAAGAAATAACGAGGGCTTCTCGTGTACACAGTGGTCAATATGCCACCATGGCCCTCCAAATGCCACACTGCCTCAAGAGCGAGTCCATCTCTTGACCGTTTCCTAGGTCTCTGTCATCAATTTAGCTCGTATCCGCGTGATGCTTGTTCAGTCCACCTTATCTCAGTTACTTCCTCAGTCGGAAGAGGATTCGGCTTCTGATCCTTGCCATTTGGGGGTCTTTTGTTCAAGGGCTGCCGCCAGACATTCTTCAGGAGTGAGATTGAGATTGTTGAAGACTCGTTCTTCGCAAATCTCAGCAGTAGCTTCCTGGTTGGGATCAAGTCCATCTTCTGGGGCTCGCTTTGTAGGCAAGGATGACTCGGGTCCGAACGTGGCCTCGTCGGCGCTTGGTGGACTTGGTGCTTTCTGTGCGTTCGGTGGGCTCGGCGGGCTCGGCTTCGGCTGGCTTGGTTGACTCGGCTGGCTGGGTCGACTTGGTCGAATTGACCACTCGAACATGCTTCCAACCCCAGATAACCAGGCGTCGATGCTTTTTCCGGGCGACAAATCCTCAATATCTGGTTCTCGACCGTTGTCTTGAGCTTCGAACAGACAGTCTCCCATTAGTTCGGGAGCTTGATGGTCCTTGTGGTCGGGATTCCCCCCATTGCTCGGTCCCGTGATCCGCTTTGCATCAGGGACTTCATGGGAAGTTGATGAGGTCGACGAACTGTAATATACCATTTGGGAATCCCTACTTCTAGCTGGTTTGGGGTATTGTGTGTTCGTGTTACCTTTGATCGGCTTTCGCAAGGTCGTCGCGGTAGCGAGGAAGTGCTCTCGCATGGTATCCTTGACCTCTCTCCAAGCTTCCTCGGACAAAGAGCCCGTCTTCTTCTCTATCCTGAGACGAGCTATTCTCTCACTGACTGGGTCGGGATTTTCGAATAGGTTGTTGATGAAACCATACTTCATATCGCACGATTCTGCAGTACCGTCTGGCGACTTGTAGTCTTACTTCAGTCAGCACGCATGCAATACAGCCTACTGAAGGCTGGAACTTACAAGGACTTGGTATCTCTTTGGCGTCGGGGAAGAGAATACTGAAGATGTCCTTCCACTTCTCTTCATTTGATTCACCACGCTTTCTCTTCTTGTCTCTGAGCTTTGCCTCTTGCTCGTCGTTGAATCCTTTAAACTCTCGCAGGATTCCCCGTAACGGGATGTACAAAATTTGTTGAACAAACTTTATGGTTTGCGTGACAGGACTCATCGACGAAAGGCTCACCACATTTTGTGCAATGCGGCTTCTGTTTGTGACATCTACAAAGATGTTCCCTGAAGTTATGATTATAGTCAGCAGTTACTCGCGGAAGAGCTTTTGCGGGACTTTTTATGCGGTGACTGCGTACTTGAGTCTTGATGGATCGGGGAATGCGGCACCGCGACATCCTTGACGGCTTTCGTAGGTTATAGGGTCCTGTAGAAGAAATGGACAAGCAAGATGCCGCGGTTTCCGTTTCAGAGGCTCTTCTTCTTGAGACCACAGGCTGCCCACTTGCCGAGTAGGGTCACGTCTGAATCCATTGTCTGGGCCTCTCGAAGCGTTGCCTTGGATAGGGGCCCTAGCTCTGTAGCAGTATATCTTGTCTCTTGGAAAGCCAGGCCCGAAAACAAGCTCGAAGTCCAAGAAGTAGGCATCTTTAGGAGATGTAGTGCCGATGCAACCTTGGATGGAAACCGGTTTCAATCCAGCCAACTTGATGAGCTCGTAGACGTTCTTCATAGAATACTGGTGGCTAGCCGTTGGCTTCAATAGCCTGCCGTTACCTTGTTGTTTATTGTGCGCCTCATCGTCGTTCAGAGAAGTGAAGTCGTGCTTCGTGTTACGAGTCCAGTTGATATTTTGCTCGACCGTCAGGCCGTTACCCGCGAAATCCTGAGAAGATATGGGGGATGTTCCCAAGGGCTTTGCGCGCCAATGTCTGAGCTGTTGAGCTTTGGATTTAAGGAAACTGAATAACTGGAGGGGCTTTCGACGATTAATTAGTCGGCTGAACCGGCCTTCATGCTCTCGCGTATTCAACATTGTGCCTTGTGGAAGAGTAAACGCTGCAGTTAGCTTGCCTTTGGATTGTAATTTCGCAGGAGACATGTCGTCGCATTTTAAAGGAAATCAAAGCTAAAACTTGATTTCGGCATGAGACAACAACGCATGCAAGGATAATTCGAGTGGCCCGCTTCTATCGCATCTGCCCAGTAAGATGGAATCGCGAAACTTCGCGATTTGGATCATGGCTCATGGTTGGGTGCCACATTGACTGAGGTGCTGTCATGCTGTCGGGCTGTCTGCCGGTAATCGAGAGCTAGTCAACGTCGATTGGCGCGAAGGAAGACCAAAAGTGATGTGAGGCATCCGCACATCCAATGGCCGCACACCTACTCACACGCACGGTAAGACTCCCTTCTCCGCATGCCACAAAAGTCCCACGATCTGTGCCAAGGACACTGCCGTCTACATCACTGAACCTCTCTGCAAGCAAGCACTTGTTCGGGATCCCCGACTGCTGGGATTGCTTCGCACTGCCGAATGTCTACGGTCTCGATGTCGATTGCGTTATATACGAGAGAAGTTGAGGTAAGTTGGGTTACGTACAGTTTGCTTGACGCTTCAGCCTAGGCACCTCTTGAGGGAAGACACAGTGCCACAACCTGAAGTCGCGATGGCTACATGAAGCAAAATAGATAGTTCTACCCGGGAGAAAGCAAAAAGAGTGATCAGTGGGAGGCTTGAACTCCCGGCCTTGGCATTACAGAACATATCAGATGATATATTAGTACCACGCTCTAACCAACTGAGCTAACCGACCCGCTTTGAAGCTGTCTTGCTTGTGAGACGGACGACGAGAGGTGGGTTAGAAATGAAGAATTCGTGATGAGTTGTGGGCGATGGTGGGGGACATTTGGGGATGCACTCGCGTAGCCCTATTGATTTGCTGGACCCTCATGATATCCACTGGCGACAAGGTCCACATGGGGAATGTGGATGGGCAGCAACGCCAAAGGCAGCCCGAAGACGACGAGGGCCCTGGGCTTCTCTGCAGAGGGGGGCTGAATGAGGATAGAAATGGGTTATTGACCCTCGGTGAGCGTGCATGAGCCGCGGGTCTGGGAAGATGACCCCTCGTGTTGGAGACCAGGAGAGAGGTGGGGGAGTGACAGATGATAGCTCGAGATTATGAACAAAATCACAGATGAGGGGCAGAATGCCCATGATGCGAGTCCTAGGCTTGAGGCTGCTCACTAGAGCAACGCGATGCAGACCGCCATAGCTGTCGTCTGATGTCGGCGGTGAGCCTCAGCCTCAAATGTCGACCGTTTTCTTCTTCCGCCCGCCTCGCATACGAGTAGTACAGACGAACCCAACAATCTGGCGGTGCTGTCAAACTCAGACAATCAGGGGTGCGTGCCTGATAGCCGCGTCAGACGACAGGACTCAAGAGTCACGGCCGATGATGTTTTCTCTCATTATCGCCGCGAAGGTTTCACAATCAGGGCAAACGAGGGGCAACAACTTCATGTAGAAGGAGGGACATGACATCGCATCATCACATCACCGGGGTCACAGTCGGCGATTCCAGTGCTCTGGCGCAGGGTGGGGCCGGTGCCCCTGCATCCCAGCCACTGAAAAAACACTTTGAATGGTGCCCCTCCGCCGAGGCCTCGCACCGAGCGTGGCAGCGGGTGTGGGGACCTGCTTCCGTTGGTGGGGCAATCCGTCGGTGCTGCTTCTGCTGCTGCTGCTGTCGTCAAGCGTCAGGCACAGACACAGCACAGCAGGGCAGGGGACACATTGAAGGATTTATTTCACCGAGGGAAAAGAGCATCTGGCGGTGTTGGGTGTGTTAGGCATGAGGTAAGGTAAAGCAAGGCAGGTAATTTTTTCTTAGTTTGGGAGAGAGCTGCAGGACAGCTGGACTTGCAGCATGTTGTCCTCGTATCCTCTTCGGATTGGTTGACCGTGACCCGTTGTACAATACAAAGACGGGACGAACGGCTGCCACCACGGCCAACGTCTTTTGTGTTCCATTTCTTCTTCTCTTCGAGTCTCTGTGATCAAACTGAGACGAGGCCTTTTGTCCTTGAATTTTCCTTCTTTATGTGAGTTTCTTTGATGCTGCGACAAATCGAGGTAAGTGCCCCTGTTCCCGGTCCTCTTTTTGCCCTTCTGGTACCTGCGTCCCCGGACGCTACAGGCTAGCGGCCGCGGGGCCAGGGCCACAGCCGCAAGGGTCCCCGGCGGATTCGCAGAGTTTTGGCGGTTTTTGGTGGCTGGGATGCAACGCCACCCCGGTCTCCAGCCACCTCGACCAGACTGACGGAGGGGACAAACCACCACTCGAGAGTCGTGATGCTCGACGACGAACTCTCCCCAACCACTTGCAATTCCGCGACCAAAACCACAACATGACCCAACCACGATGCATTGCGCCCCCTTCCCCTCCTCTTTTCTGCCTGCATCATGCAAACACCCCCATTCCATCACACCAATTTCTTTCGTATTTGTTGCTGGTAATTGGCTCGCTGCTTCGTTCCAAGTGGAGGCTCATCAGACGCATCTGCTAGACTCCCCATGAACGACAATATGTATAATTCTCGAGATAATAACGCCCACCCCGAGGCGAGGCCTTTCATGCAACAAAACCACCGTATGTCTACATCTCCCATACACCTCTAACCTTCATCTTCTCTCCTTCACTTCCCTACCTATATCCTTCTCTTCTCACTCTCCTTCGCCAACCACCACAACCAACACCACGCATCCCTGTTCTTAATACTGACGACCACCTCACAGGCGGCCACTACCCGCCACAATACTGGTCTGCCAGGACACCCTCACAACAATCATCCACACCAAACACTCTTCGTCCTTACCACGCGACGGGAAGGCATTATGAAAGCGTAGAGGAAGACGACTCCAGCCCCCAGGAAACCCTCTCCCCGCCGCCCTCCTTCGTCCCTCACGCGCCGTCGCCCCCGTCTCAGCAGCGGCCGCCCGCCCATCTCCAAAACTTCAGCCGTCCTCCGGAGCAGCAGCAGTTTCCCGCCCCGGTGGTTATGAGCAGCAACATGTTCTCCAACAACCAAGACCCCTACACCTCCCAGCCGGCCGTCCGCTTCAACGAGGCCCAGCTCGCCATGGACGAGGTCACCAACCGCACCCGCGCAAAGGGCTTCCGCGACGAGCTCACCATCGCCGCCAACGGCTCCGTCACCCCGGGCGTCGACGACACCCCTTATATCCAGTACGCCCTCGAGGCCCTGACCCGCGAGCACGGCCACAACTTCTCGCCCCCGTCCAGCGTGCCCTCGCCAGCCGACAACAACAACCACAACAGCAACGGCTACTACCGCGCCGCCGGCTACCTCCCGGACGACCTCCAGGACCAGAGCCCCCAGATCAGTGGCGACCCCGACACCGGCTTCCAGCCCATGGCCCCGGCCCTCACCCGCAACTCGATGCAGCGCCCCCCGTCCCAGCAGCAGCAGCCCGGCCGCATGTCCCTCGGCACCCGCATCATGTCGCCGCCGCAGTCCGCCGACTCACGGTACCGCCCGAGCGAGGACCAGAGGCTGCTCGGCGCAGAGCCGTCGTTGAAGTGGCTGCCTATCAGCGAGAAGGAGTCGGTGTTCCCGGGTATGACCAAGCTGGATACTGTTGACGAGTCTCGCGAATTGTACCCCCGTCTCACCTACAAGCCCGCAATTTTGCGGCTCCCGTCGATGATCGTGCTCATGGTCCTCTGCATCCTGATGATCGCCGCCCTCATGCTCGCAGCCATCTACTCCCCGATCCAGCCCGGCCTGCTCACCTACGGCGAGACCATCTACAGCGCAAAGTACTTCCTCTTCCGCATCCTCCCCCAACTCTTTGCCACCGTCATCTTCGTCTACGCCCAGTGCGTGACGGCCGCCACCCTGCGCATCCTCCCGTTCGCCGCCATGGCCGAGGACGAACCCCTCAAGCGCCGCAACGCCCTCTTCCAGAACCTCTACCCCAAGACCTTCCTCCTCCCCCAGCTCGCCGGGCCCGTCCACGTCAAGATCGCGCTGGCCATCCTCTGGCTCTCCGCCTTCACCATCCCCCTCGCCAGCGCTTCCTTCACCGTGATCCACACCGAGGTCTGGTACTGGACCGCCGTCCAGGGCACCATCTGGGCCCTCGTCGGCCTCTACTTCCTCGTCATCACCGCCCTCCTCCTCCTCGCCCTCTACTGGCGCAACCGCGTCACCGGCCTCATGTGGGACCCCCGCTCCATCGCCGACTTCTCCTTCATGATCAGCAAGTCAAACACCCGCGACTCCTACCGCGGCTCCGAGGTCGCCGAGGACCGCGCCCACCTCCGCCACATCCTCCGCAACCGCATGGTCGACCGCCTCGGCTACTGGATGACCGACTCCAGCAACAACACAAACTCCAACGAGGCCCCCTGGTACGGCCTCGGCACCGAGCACTCCCAGGGCCAGCTGCCCCACGACCTTCACTACGACACCAAGAACGAGTCCGACCGCCGCTCCATCACCTCCAACCTCATCGTCGACGGCCACGGCGACGACTACATCCGCACCTTCTACCTCCCCTGGTGCCTCCGCACCTCCCCCGTGCTCTTCTTCGTCGTCGCCGCCACCGTCCTCCTCGCCGCCCTCTACGTCGTCTCCTTCCTCCACGCCACCGCCCTCGTCAACGGCTTCGACCCCCGCCTCCCTGCCGCCCCGGGCCCCGGCGCCTTCTCCCCCGCAAACTTCCTCTACTCCTTCGTCCCCTCCCTCGTCGGCCTGCTCCTCTACCTCGCCTTCCAGTCCCTCGACCTGCACCTCCGCATCCTCCAGCCCTGGGCCGATCTCGGCGCAAAAGACGGCTCGCCCGCCTCCCGCTCCGTCCTCGCAGACTACGCCGCCTGCCTCCCCCTTCAAACCACCCTCCACGCCCTGCGCAACCGCCACTACCGCGTCGCCGCCATCTCCCTCACCACATCCCTCCTCGCCTTCCTCCCCGCCATGGCCGGCGCCCTCTTCATGGCCCTCACCGCCGTTCCCGAGGGCGGCGTGCGCATGTTCCCCGTCGTCCCCGTCTTCGCCGTCATCCTCGCCCTGCTCTCCCTCTACCTCTGCGCCCTCGTCTCCCTGCTCTTCGGGCGGAACTACTACCGCCTCCCCCACGCCGTCACCTGCCCCGCCGAGGTCTTCTCCTTCCTCGCCAACGAGGACAACGCCTCCGACCCCGTCTTCCGCTCGCCCACCCCGCCCCGCGCAAAGTCCGACCTGCGCGACCGCCTCGGCGCCGGGCCCGCGTCCGCGCAGAGCACGTGGATGTTCGGCTACTGGCCCGGCCGCGACGAGCGCCGTCTTGGTGTGAGGCGGCAGAAGCGGTTCACGGAGCGCAAGTCCTTCCACGAGAGGATGCCCCTCCGCGCCGGCCTATGAAGAATTTTTCCGACTTTTATAATGCATTAATGGCCCTTTCGACGAGACGAAAGAAGCGACGATTTATCTGATTTACAACATACTCATCTCCCATCATATGCGCAAAAACACAACATAATCTGTATATATGCGCGCGAACCGTATCATCTGTTTAAGCTACTAGCATGGGACAACGGCGTTCTACACCCAGGTCAAAAAAAGAAGGGGCGTTATTTGGGAAAGCATTCGTCCACCAGGACCGGAGTTATTTCACGATTTTCACGGAGTCTACGATACGATATCAATGTTTCGACGGGTACAATGATTTATCTGTTCAAAGAGTTGCTTCAACCATGTTGTTTTTATCTATCCCCCATGTATTCACATCGTCCAGTTTAGACATCAGGCTGCCGTCATGTCATCCCTAGCTATTAGAAAGCCTTCCCCCCCCTTTTCCTCTCGCGGTCGCTAGACCGGAGGAAGGGGGAGCCTAGACCTATACAAAAAAGAATGTTCAAACACCTTTCTGGCCCAGTCTACGAATAGTGGAAAAAAAAACTTGGAAAACTTGGTTCTTTTCCAAATCTTGAAAATGCCTCCCACTCACGGAACTTTCCACGGAGCCCCGTCTAGACCCCCCGGGCTGCGCTACGTTACGTTGCCTCCCTTTTCAGGTGAACATGCCTCACGGGACGGAATCGGAATTACTCTGGCAACTCACCCTCACTTCTTAACTTACGGCCGTCGGGTAGGAGGGGCGCGCGGAATGGGGGGGCCTTGTGGGGTGTGGCGAGGTCGACCTCGTTGAGCCTCTCTCTCTCTCTCTCTTCTCTCGCTTCCTCGACCCCTGACGGCGATGTTCCGATGTCCAGGAGGGAATTCGCGAGTGGGACGCGATCGTGAGAGAGGCATATCATCGGGCTGGTCTGACCATTCCGCCGCCATCAACCTACGCATATCACGATAAATACGAACAAGTTTTGTAATTGCTTTAATTATTCTCCGTCTGATTTGCACTACACTGAACACTCGGAAAACCAACTATGCATCATTTCAAAACGTAAAATTTCTTCCTCTAATTGATGTCTTCTCATCCTCTCGCATGATCGTGAGGGTCTGTGGTGTCATTCGCTCAAAGGCCGTGTTTCTTTCGTAAAAAAGGTCCCAGTTCCGTCTCTTGCCGTACCTTCATCATATCATCTCTCTCACCATTTTTTGCATGTTCTCATCTCTTGCCGTTGCCGTTGACGTCCTCGTACTCGTTTCGAACATTCGTGTCTGAGTCGTAGAATATTCCAGCCCGCCTTTCCCGCCCTCCGTCATTCCTCCATCTCCTGAGAGGGCCATCCCTTCCGTGTAAGCTTTCCAGCAATGCCAGGGAAGAAGCTCCAGGGTCCTTCCAGCTAGCGTCTCTTCCCCAACGACACACACCTTTCCCGTGTCCCTTCTTCAGAATCGTAGAGTAGCATCAGATAAGAATAACAACGTCAGGCGTGAGCATGAGCATAAGCATGAGAAGACAAAAGAAATGCAGCAAAAATCAACGATACAAAGAAGACTGAAAGTGAAAACGCTGTGCTCGCGGAATGTAGAAACAGCAAAAGCTCCATCATGTGGATGCCATCAACCTCATCTGTGGCCTACCATAGTACCACATCGTAGTCGTGTAGACATGTAAACGTATAATTGTGGAAACACTGAATCCAGCTTCAGTTTCCGTGAGATCTGCCCCGGAACATGCGGCCGAAGCCCCTCTTATGCCTCTCGATGAAGAGCTGCTGTCCCTCGGGTTCCCGGATTGTCTCCGCCGTGTCTGCGCGGGCACGGCGCAGCTGGGCATCCGCGAAAGCAGCGCCCTTGGTGCTTCGCCTCGCCTCGCTGGCCGTCCGCTTGTGGAGCGTCTTCACGAATCGGGAGATCGTGTGCTCCGGCTCCGGATCGTCTGAATCAGAGTCCGAGTCGAAGTCGAAGAAGCTCTTGGGTGCTGAAGTGGTGTTATGAACTTGGATTGGCGGAGGGAGAGGAGCAGAGCGCGGATGTGACAAGTCTGTTGGGGACATGGCATCCGCGGGATATGTTCCATGGGAAGTGTGAGGGCGGGTAAATGACGGCACAGGGGAGTAAAGGGGCGAATAGAGAGGCGAGTAAAGAGATGCTGTTGCTGGGGAGTGCATTGGTGCCACAGTGGGTGCTGGCAGCGAGTGCAGATGGATTGGAGGTGGTCGTGTGCCTTTACGAAGGTTCGAAAGGCTTGGCGGTTGTGCAAGGCGAGGTGGGGGAGGAGGAGGATAGGATGGTGGTGGTTGAGTGCGTGGAAAGAGGCTGTATGAGGAGCGCACGGCGCGAATTGTGCGGCGTGGTTCCGGAGGAGAATAGGGTGATGCAAGAGAGACATCTTGCGCACGAGGTGATGGCATTGTTGAACGTGGCTGGGGGGATGTCATGAGGTGATCTTTAGCAGGAGTGGCTGGGTTGTTGACTTTGATGTTGTATTCAACAGGCCGGGGAGGTAACGGGTAGTCTTCGTAGTTAATGCAGCCCGTCTTCTTTGCTCGGCGGATATGTGGTGAAGGAATCAAAGCAGGATACTGCGTCTTAGACGTCTCTGGTGTTTTCCGACTTGGGTCTCCCTCGGCAGGCCAGAACGAGTCCCACAGCTGTGATGCGGAGGCGTGGTACTGGTAGTCGTCGTCGAGTGAGACTTCCGAATCGGTCCGGTCGTCGATGAGGCTGGGTGCAGAGGACCCGTCTGAGCTTTGCGAGCCGATAGATGAGCGGTCTCTACGGGTTGGTGTTTGGGGACAGGAAGGTTCGTCGTACTCTTCCTGGCTGAGATCCTCTGACGAGTACGTCTGTCCGGCTCTTCGGTAGGGGTTGCGACTTGGAGTGCCGTCTGGTCGGGGATATGAGAAGTTTGCGTAGCCGTAATACTTTGATACGAGCTTGAGATGGGCGAGTTTGGTCTGTCGCTCCATACTCGCAGGTCTGGAAGAGGAAAAAGAGGCTCTTGTCATGTCGAGTTCCTGTGCATACCCAATCATGTCCTCAGGGGGGACACAAGACATGACTGCGACCAACGTCTGCAACGACGGCTTGGTTCACTGCTGTTGCAAGCTCTCTAGATAACGACGCCACGATGGAGATATTGGCCGGAGGACGCGAGGGGGACGGACGGGGAGGCAACGATATATGCACAATCCGGCAGCGGCTGTCTCCCTGCCACAAACAAACTTTATGTATGCCTCCTCTGTCATGGTCTGCCATCAGCACGAATCGTACGCCTTCCACCCAACGGCGAACAACAACAGGAGACAAATATGCAGGAGACTGATCCACTGGGCCTCGTCGAGGGCTCTTGGTCCACTTGGTGGCTGATTATGACAACCAGACCATCCCCTGCAATTCTCAGACATTCCTCGCTTGGTGTTCTATCCCTCGTGCGATATGCATGCTCGGTGACGGAAGGCGGCGGGGCCAATCAGGTGCGTTTGCCAGTCCGGACTGCCTACCGGTGTACTTGGTACGGAGCTCGGTGGGCATCGGAAGCTGAGAGGGGGGCCTCGACGGCTCCAGGGAATGGCACGCTGACTTCCGACTCGACGGAATGCACAACTGTCTGAAAAAGGCATGACTTGGGTCGCTGGATTGCTCGAGTTTCCATAACGTGGGAACAAACGCGCTTTCGACAACTCTCGTTGGTTCGTCGTTTGTGATGAATGGAAACTCTTTTGTAAAGGATCGATCCTTTTCGAGAGAGGCTATCGCGATTGCCCCATCCGGAGGCCTGCTTGACGATGGAAACCCATGCTAGCTTCAGCTTCGCAAGGAAGAGGCAGGAGGCGGGGCTCGGTTTGCGGAGCCTCAATCACTTGATCTCTTACCCGCCTCCTTGCTTGTTCGAACCTTCCGTCCGCCGGATGACCGGGTGCCCTCTTCAACGAATGAACAGTACCGGTCCTCTGCAGTTTGTTGCCGCTTGACTCGAAGCTGCATTGGGGGCCGGCGGGAAGTCGAGAAGAAAACTCTTCATGTGGAAGCCAGTGACTGGAATGTGCAGAGCTTGTCGATGTCTCACCTCCACGGCGACTGCACTCTGCCATCCGAGTCGGTGGCGCCACTGCGACGCTGGAGGTCCTTCTCGACCTTCGTTTACCGGCGCAGACTTGTGAGGGCCGGCCTAGATTGCCCAGAGCATATGCCGGGCTCCAAAAAGAGGCAACTAGGCAAACAAAAAGCTGACAAAAACTGATTGAAGCGAAAGTTTGCGCATTCTGTCTGTGTAAACTGTTTTCAAAACAACAGAACTTTCAAAAAGACAGTGAAACAGCCAATATTGCGTGGCGTGATCTTTGTGCTGAAGCTTTAGAATCAACAAGCGGACCTCTTTCCATGGTCTGTCGGTTATCTCGCGGTCTCTCACCAAGACAGTACGGGATACTCCTTCTAAGCCTCAAAACGATCTCGATCTGAATTTGAGGGAAAGATCGCCGTTTGGCAGTGGCTCTGCTTTTCTGGGGCTTCAGCTGGGGGGTAGGAAGCCATAGAATGGCCACAACGTTGAATGACGAAAAGCACGTTCCCTTGAATCTGTTTGTTTGGTGACAATCTTATTCTGCGGGCCGTGTGTTTTGACATTGCCGTTTGCTGCGGTCCGTAGGCATGCGGCGTGCTGGAGCAACGGCAGCCACCGGATGTAACAACAGCTGATTGATGTGTGGGTTGATCGGTTGGATTGCGGGTGCCGCGCGAAAACCAGGCTGAGGCGGAGAAGGCCTGGCGCCCATATGAAATGTTGCAGGCGGGAAAAAGCCTTGACCGGAGCGGGAGTCTCAGCAATTTGCCAAAGTACGTCATGCCGTTTGCCGCACGCCTCTTGCCGTCGAAAGCGGGTTCCGTAGCATGTCGCCTACGACCGATGTCATAGGTCGCGTAGGAGTATTTTCCGACGCTGCAAATCTGATATTCAGAGGATGTTTGACAGATGCTCGACGCTCAGTAAGTAAAGACCCTTTCACTGGCCATATTCTTAGACATCAGAATGCGGGAGATCGTCTCAGTCTAGGGTGGTGTGCAGCCAGGACACTGAGAGGCTCCTGTCCCTTGTTCGAGAGCTTTCCCATGCGAGATGGCGGTTTCCTGGATTTTCCCGACTCGACAATTCGATGGGGGGGGCAACAGAGCTTGTCGATCAACAGGGGATGATCGTCCCTCGCATACCGAGGGGATTTTGTCAGCTTTCACGAGCTAGGGATGTATCTGTGTTCTAAGGTAGTATTTGTAGGCTCCCGAAGATGTAAGACTGTGGAGAACGGCCGCATGCAAGGGAGTCTGCGAAGAGGTAAGCAGCTTTCCCGTCTTTTTCTTGCACGCATTTGGAACTCCGTGACCCTTGGTGACCCTTGAGCCCCTGATCAGAGTCAATTGTATCCTTGTGTTCTCTTGAAGGCTTTTTTAGGGGGCACCGTGGACCCCTTTCTAGGGTTCTTGCAGGTCCCCTGGGTTTAAGCTCCCAGTCCCTCCCTGTAATCCCTTGATAGCAACCTTCGTTTACTTGTTTCAAATGCACCAAAACTTGGCCTGTCGACTCGGAAAAACCCAATTGCCCGTTGCAAAGGGAGATGTCAGGCAGCATCCGATTCGAACCGGAGTGTATCGCGGCGCGGGAACGCGGACTGCGGTCGTCGGAAGCTCTCCGAATGGCTCGCGGCCCGCGCAGGTTCTCGCACATGCCGATTTGGGCTGAATACCTAAATCCACGTCTGGGAGCCATCAACGCGCGTTGCCCTCTCATGCCACTGCGGGATGCCTCGTGGGAGAGGGCTGAAGAAGATCGCCGATCGTGTAAACCATGGCGGTACGTGCTCCGAAGTCTCCAAAGTTTTCAGCTTCGTCGGGCTGAGTGCGTTTGCGTTTGATGGCAGGTTCAGCGGTTGAAGAATGCTGTACCTGACTACTCTGGTCAGATCGGACGATTCGCAACAGGGTCGTCTCGGAGCTCGAGATGGATGCCAATTGTTGGATCGAAAGATTTTCTCGCTCGATCCATTGAGCAAGGACTTTGCATGTGCTCACGGCGGAATTTCGACGAGATGCGCCGAGAAGGGATGGTCCCAGATGGCAGGACCCAATCTCTGAGCCCAAGATTGAAGATTGGGACGTGTTTGGCATGGATCCGTCGACATCGTTGTCGTTTTCTCTGGCCCCCAAGAAAGTAGCCCCCAAAAACGTTGTTTGCAATATTTCGTTGAGGCGTTGCATCACGTTCTGTCGAAGATTGGCAAATGCCCCAGCAGAAAGGTAGAGGTGGTGGTTCAGGCACACGCGGTCGACTGCGAGCTTAATCGAAAGTGTGGCTCAACGGCGGCCGTGATTGGCTTGGGAAGGAAAGTCCAGGAACAGGGGGCCGTCTTCGGGAGCGACCCGTTCTTTCCAAGTTTGATTCCTCTGGAGCACGGGCCTTCACCCCCTTGGCCACCTCAGCCAGCAGGTCACCTCAGTCAGTCAATCAGATGTAGCAGGCAAGTCCAGGCTTACCAAATCCAAAGTTGAGGCTGGAGGTGGCCTGTGCTGTAGCTTCCCTGAGTGATGTGAGCTTGGAAGGAGTCAATCATGTCCCCTCCTTCCTGAGATGATTCCATGCAACCCAACTCAGCTCTCGCCGTGACCTTCAAAGCTGAAAGAACTCGGCTCTTCTTTCTTCGACATCTCCGTTCGATGTCTTCGCTTCTCTCCCAGGTTCGATTCATGTTTCAATGCATGTGCCTTGGAAAGGACAAGCGCAACAGACGGACGAACGCCTTATGCAGGCCGCGCTGCACCCCATCTTCCAAACGAACTTTGCTGATGAACGCCCGCGCCCTACTGAGACGATCTACTGAGTTTTTCCAGTCATAGAGGAGGAGGTGATCACTTCCTTGACCAGGAAAAAAATTATCCGTAGCAGCTGTTCCCATAATGACCCAGGGACCTGCTCTGCTCCAAGATCAGATACCTATGACCTCCCCTCTCACCCAACCCGCTGAATGGCACCAGCCTCTGTACTCCTCCCGGCTAGCGCTCCAGACGGGGGACTCCTGGGTGCAAACCGGCCCATCGGGATCGCTGAAGAAGGGGGACGCCAGACTGCGGGTGATTGGCAATGGGGAATGGGTTTCGTCACGACCTGACGCAGTGACAACTCACACTCACACACACCTTTTCTTCACCTTCGCTTTCGTTCCATCTCTTGCCCTCTCAGCACCTCTCACCGCCTGCCCCTTACTCCGTCGGCTCAGTAACATGTCATGACTCCGCGAGACTGGCTGCAGACATCTTCGCGGCTGCGGTCGGGCCAAGGTAAGTTCGGTCGAGACAGGCCAACTCAATGGTGGAAAGGCAGCCTGCCCGGTCTTGTTTCCTGCGTTTGCTCTCCCACTCCGGCCGGGGCTGGCTCTTCCCACATCCAGAACCATGTCGCGGCGCGGCGGCCACGGACACGGCTCTGGCACACACCAGTGACCACACATCCACCAGCGTCCCCAGCCCCCCGGTTTTTTTCCACTGGCTCAGTTCTTGCGAAAGCGCAGGCAGATTCCCTGCCTTTGCCGTCGCCCCTGTCACGGCTCATCGGACACTGCGCCAGAGAACAGGTGAGGCGAGCAGCTCCAATTTCGTCCTTCGGTCGCACTCAAAGGTCGCCGCCTCCAGCTTGTCCGTCCATCCCAAATGGCGCCCAATGCCCGATGGCCGACTGTCAGCCCATGTTCGCGCCGAGTTTCTTTTGCCCAAGGGTTTCCCTTCAGCTGACGGGATGTTCCTGGATCGCACACGCGTGGCCGCGATGGCAGATTTGGGCTGGGCTAAGATGGACCACCATCCAACTACGGTAGCATGCGTATCCGCGATTCCCATGCGCGCAATGGCAACGATAGTCGGGGACAGCCATGCTGCAAAGAGACTTAAGACGGCGCCGTTAAGCCGCCCAATCCTGAATGCTGCAGCCATCTTCCAAGCCGGCGTTGCCAATAGCTGGGGCAAGAGAAACCAGCTCGTCGATCCACATCCCATGCGTCTTGCTGTACGTGTGTTGTACCTTGTCTGCGAGCTGCCTGCTGCACGAAGCTGCAAATTTGCTGCAGGCCGTGATTTGACGGCGGCGGGTCCTTTTGGAAGCTTCAGGTCTTGCCCATGCCAATTGACCTATCCGCTTCTCGAGGTCTCCGAGCTGCCAACCTCTCGCTGTGGGATGCCTGGTCTTGTCCGCAAGGTGAGGCAAGGTAGGTAGAGAGCGAGAGGGAAAGGTATCCGTATGCCGTACCTAGTGTATGGGAGTGAGATGCTCCGCCAGAGCAATAATAGTCGACGCGAGATGATGGGTTGGGTACGGTGCCGGTGCCCTGCCGAAACAATTAAAACCCGTCACCTGTCCCAACCCGCGCGTGTCCCCATCCACGTCCCCGTCTCGGTTCCCCGTCGTTTCTGCCCTGCTCTTGTCTCGAAGGGAAAAAAGAAGACTTGCATCATAGTCGACCTTACCTTGTCTTTGATTCTGCCATTGCCGCGACCCCCCGACCTCGACGACACGCGACGCCCTCGAACCCGCCGTCAATGACCTCGACATCTGCATCCTGACCAAGGTCAGACCAGACGGAGGTGTTGCTGGGCGAGCAACCATAGGTCTGTGTCTCCGAAAAAGGGCCCTGGGCAGCAAGCAAACCTGCCTGGCAGCAGCCACTCAAGCCATCCCGTCTCGTGCTGCTCTCTGTACGGCACTGACTCTGCGGTTCCGGGTGTGAATGTGGAGGACGAGTACCTCCCAGCGCAACGCAGCCCGAGACATTGACAATCAGGTCGGAATCATCAATTGAGGAGAGAGGTGCAAGTTGCAGAGGCGCCTTCCAGGGCTGCTCTGGTCGACTGCTTTTGGGCTTCAGGACAGCCGTTTGTTGCTGCATGTTTGCTGGCTGTCCACTGAGAGAAGCAGGGAGAGAGAGATTCAATCCATCTTGGTGCAGCAGTTGCCACAACGCAACCCAACCTCGAAGTCCAAGCAGCAACCGCAAGTCCCAAGTCCCAAGTCCCCTCTCCCGCCCCTCCCTCCTGCCCGAGCTCTAGGTTGGTAGTACCTTCCCTGGGTGCTCCTGCGTGATGCCCTCCACCCACCTGGCCTTTGGAGTTGACAGAACTTGAGGGAAGGTGCTGTTTGGGAAACAACCTACCTTACCTGCCAACTTCTTCTTCCAATTGATCACATCCGCCTTGCCTGAGACTTTCATGCTTCTCACTGCAAGACAGGTGCACATTGGAAAAAAAGAAGTGCACAATCTTTTGTTGTTTTTTCTTTTTCCACCCAACGCGTCGATTACCGCTTTGCGCGCGCGTTCTCCCTCTCACTCCCACCTTTCACCCGACTCTCTCATTTACCAAACCACCAAACTTCGCATCACGACAACCACAACAAAAAAAAAAGGTCGAGCTGGCGCATCCAACAAAAAGCTTCACCACGGGCAATTATTCCTCCAGAAACCACTGTTCCAAGACCTCCATCTATCGCCCCGACGACATCATCAATCCTATTTATCTGCGCCTTATCCATTCGCTCAGCGCGCATCGACCAATCTTCCGCTCGATTCCACTGGCCGCCCCCAATGCCGCCTTTTCGCCTAGCCACCTCTTTTTCCCAAATCTGACGCCAGCCTCTCCCATTTCCTCCCGCTTCGACCTCGACCCTCTGTCTCTCCCGGCTGGTGGCATTCTCACACCCACCACCCTCTCTACCTTACGTCTTACCAGAGGATCCATACCACTCCGGATTTCACTTCTCCTCTGCTAAGCAGCATCTTGCCTGCTTGCGCAGACCGCTTTTATTAATTCACTTTTTTGGGTGTGGTATCTGTGTACTCCATCAGCACAATACCACCCTACCAAGTGAGTTGTCCCCTGTTCCCTCCAACCTCACCTATTTTTTTTCCATGTTACCCCCAAGGAGCCCACACCACCTTCGTGCGCTGTGCTGTGTTGCGCTGCTCTTCGGTACTTGCTAACACCAAGATCAGCATTCTCGCAGGTCTCGCCAACCCTCGCCTGCCTTACATCACTCATCGACGACCCTCAATCACCACCTGGGTGGTGACACTTTCACCTTGTCCGCCGCATCAGGTCAGATCAGTGACCTGGGCCCCGTCGCGAAGTTGACGAACCCAAATTCCCCCACGCCTTCTAACGACCGTCACGAAATTCACGACCTCACGAACCCTACCCCCCAGCGCCAGCAGCAGCTGCGTAGGCAATCGCGAACCATCACTCCAGATCCAGCTGAGAGACCCTCGACTCCAGCTTCATCCCATCGCACCCTTCGCCGTACTCCGCGATTCGAAGCGACCCCGAGTCCCACCCCACAGTCAACCCGCCAAGTACACATTGAAGCTGCTTCGGTTGGTTTCAGTCCCAAACCACAACTTGCGACTGCACCTGCCCCCGCGCCCGCCCTTGCGCCTGCAGCTCCCCTTAACTACGACTATCCCCGACTCGTCGCCCACGAAGACAGACGAAATTTCCGTACACGAAGAGTTCTCTCGCAGGATCTGAGCGAGGACTTTCTTCTAGAAGAATCCTCGGACGAAGCCCCGTCTTTCCGAGACCGATCATCCTCATCTCCCAATAAACGACGCGAGTCTCACCGACCTCATCGCGTCTCTAGAAACACCCGCAGCGCCATCCTCTTTGCCCTCGAGGAAGCGCTCCGACAGCCCCACCCGTTCACGCCCGACGAGATCGAGGAAAGCGCATCCATGGCTGACCTTATCGGAGGCGGCGCCGCCGCTTCCAATGGCAATGCGTCCACTCCTTCTCGCCGCCCAACTGGCGCACCCAACCCGACCAGCTCGCCTTCCGGAATTCGTGGTCCTAGAATGATCATGCAGGAGCGAGCTGCCAGAGAGGCCGCCCGACAGAAAGCCGAGCAGGAGCAGATGCAATTGGAGAGACAGCGAGCTGAGCAGGAAGCTCGTTTATTGGAGGAGACTCAGAGACGGAATGCGGAGCGCCGCGCTGCCGCCGCCGCCGCTACTGGCGCTGCCGGAGGAGGATCTGGTGGCGCTGCCAGCGTGCCCCAGCCAGACCCCACCTCCCAACGGCGACCCGTAGCCACCGATACCCCACAGTCCCGGCCTGTTGCGGGAGGAACCTCCCGCCAACCGGCGACAACACAGCCTCAAACCCGGCATACCCGCACAACATCAGGCTCTCACGTCGGCCAGCAACCGTACAGTACCAACCCTCAAGCCGGTACCACGCAGCAGCCTGCAACTGCCACTCAGGGAGGCCAGGAGACGACCGTCGCAGGATCCAGACCCAGAAACTCCTTCCCCCATGCTTTCGAGCGCTGGGAGACCTTGTCTGCCCACTGGGAGGGTCTGACTAGCTTCTGGATCAGGCGTTTGGAGCAAAACAACCAGGATATTGACCGTGACCCTGTCAACCAGGCCCTTTCTCGTCAGGTTACCGACCTTACCGCTGCAGGTGCAAACTTGTTCCATGCTGTCGTCGAGTTGCAGCGTCTCCGTGCCAGTTCCGAACGCAAGTTCCAGCGCTGGTTCTTCGAGACCAGAGCAGAGCTGGAGCGAAGCCAAGAAGTCAATGCCATGCTGGAGCGAGCCCTTGAAGATGAACGACGTGCTAGAGAAAACGCCGTTCAGGCCGCCATCCAGAAGGAGAGAGTCACCTCGGCTAACGACGAACGCGTCAAAGAGATGAAGAAGGAGCTTCAGATCTCCAAGGAGGAGGCCCGTCGCGCTTGGGAAGAGCTCGGACGCCGTGAGCACGAGGAGAGAGAAAGAACGCAGTCTCTGCAGAGCGGCCAGCCCACTATCGTGGGCGGTGTTCAGGTTGTGCCCATGACCCAAGGTGTACCCAGTCGCCACGGCAGCTCTCGTGAGCAGCGCGGATATCAGACCGATTACAGCGGCCAGCAGAGCGGCTACACGGGCGAGTACTCACAAAGCCCAGCCAACCCGCCTGTCACCTCGAGCCCTGGCGGCAATTTCTATCCATCTGGCGACGCAGGCCAGGAAGGCGTGAGCTACACCGGTGCTGGCTCCGAAGGCGGTTACAGTGAAGGTGAGTACACGATTGATGCACAGGGCCAGTTTGTTCGCGATTCGCAGGGAAACAAAGTTCCCTTCATTGCTCCGCCTTCCCCAGTTTCTGACGAGGGACTAGAAGAGTACGAGACTCCTGCGACCAACCCTCCTAGCGCCGGCTATTCACAGACTCCGACGACCACAGCCAGCGGTCAGCAACAGGGCACTCAAGACTACTCCGGCTCAGGCTACGCCGCCCCGGGCTGGGAGACCGTTCCCAGACATCATCACCCGACGCGCCTGAGCGATGTTATGGAAGAAGAGGATGAGCGAAGCCGTGCCAGCAATAGCCAGGTCGGACGTCACTAGTAATTGGCTGTCGACCCGATTTGAACAACCAATGCGTGCTGCGTCTCCGATTGATTGCTGTTCCAACGCATCGTCGATTCATCCAAGGATACACAGCACTTGACAACGTTGCTTTCTTCCTCAACTGAAGTCTGCATTATCATTTACAGCCTTGCGATTCGACACTCTCGAGGCTGTGTGGCACGAACAAAGCAGGCAGCTACAGAAACACATGAATCGACAGCTCAGACGCTTGTCTCCGAGGTATAGCCACGCCTTCACGATTGTACGGATTTGCGGATACCCTTGAGCCTCGGAGCCGCGCTCTATAGCATGAGCAACAAGAGATGTTGCAGCTACAACTTGTGCAGTCTGCACCATTCCGGAGTTTTGACGCGATGGAGGTTAGACTGCATACGGGCACACTTTGGGCTGCCCTCGCTCTAGACATTGTTGGACTTTCTCAAGCGCGACTTGACGACTAATTTTTACTGCTTGGCATTTGGCGAGTTTTGCGACAAAAAGAAACGGTTCCGAGATGGTTGATGGACACGGCGTGGCGGTTGGGCGTGGCATGAATGGTCAGCATCGCATGGCATACTCCTGTTTCTTTTGGCGGCATTTCGTTTTGCTTTTTCGCGACTTTTCAACTTCGCTACTCGGGTTTTCGGAGCGACGCCTCATGTCCTGGTCCTTGTTGGACATTGGCGGAAGTTCTTCAGCCTGAGAGAGTATTCATACTCAGCTGGAGATGCTGCACGGCTTCTGAAGGAAACATATGGAGAGTGAACAGTTTGGGGAGAAAGATGTTGAGCTTTGGCAATGGAGACCTCGAGCTCTCAGCTGGGGGACGGAGCCTTGTATTTGTAGAAAAAGACTCTGCCAAGTGTAGGAGATAATTCATTGCTGAGTGCGTTTTTCTGGTGCCATCGTATGGAATGTGCTGGCTGGGCAATCGGGCTGGGAGCGCTGGGATTGCCCGGGTGCGTGTGGTTGCGTGCGGGAGGGGAGTCAGCTTGCATCGAGTGCGGACTTCACGCATTCCTGGCGTCTGGCTAGACACTGGTGCTCATCTGCAGGTGAGACTGCGTCCACTTGCATTCATCCCTTGCTGGCGAGCATCCGCCAAGGCTTATATAACGGCCGGTGTGCCGTCACTGGCCAGAGGTCGCAGGCTCTCATCAGACTTGGCATTCGCGGTGTACGTTCGGGTGAGTTTTTGTCTGACGGCTATCGGTCATATCTGAGGACGTATAAGCCGCCATCAACTTTGAGAATATGGATACCGCCAATCTTTCCTGTGCTTGAGGTCAGATGGTCTATTGGAGTAGGGACTGAAGATAATGCGAAGGATGACAGCAGAGACGATAATAGGAGGGACGACGATAGCAATAGTAGAGACAGGGACGACGACGACGACGACGACGACGACGAGAGATATAGAGGACCACAAAGGGAATTTAGTCGCCGCAACCTGGCGTCGAATGGATTCGTGTGTGTTATCGTGAGGCGCCTGGCAGACTGGGTTCTGGTCGCTGTTATTGGATACACCCAGTCTACGTGCAGGTGTGGTTGGAAGCTCCCACCAGTCGGAAAACGAGGGCTTGAGATGTACGAAGAACGAGGATTACGGGATTGCGCGTTTCTCACAATATAAAAAGCCTGTTGTGTGACCGTTACAGGCGATCTTGTGTTCCCATCCTTTTCCCATTCCGAACCAACAAGATCCCATCTTTTCTATCGGGAGTAGTCTCTGTACCACGCACAATGCGCCATGATTTGTTGGAAATGTTCCTCGACGATGCAGGTGGCTTCGAGAAGTGCCTGGGGCTGGAGTACGCGAGCCACGACGCCGGAATCGAGGACAGTATAAGGAACCCTGACCCCTTGCTCGACCGCATGGGACCTATTACGGATAGGCTCTTTAGCCTGAGCCTTGCTGATGATTACGACTATGGAGGTGAACTCGGAGCTAGGATCAAAGCGGGCGGGTTTGTTGGCGAGGCGATGCCTCATCCCCAGATCAGTCTCCAGGAGAGTGTCTTGGGTCTTTCTTGCCGGGAAGATGGGGTCCTACAGAGATCGAATGGCTATGGCCTTGTTGCACCTGAGGAAAGACGGTCGAAGGTCAAGACCCAAAGCACGACGATATACGACGGTATGGGCTCTCGTTACCTATAATACTCGTGACGGTCATCGAGGACTGACGGCAATAGCATATTCTCACATCGAGCTAAAACTTCAGCTTCCTCGTAGACCAGCGGTCAAGCAGCAGCATCAAGTGTCCGCATCAAGCCCGGGGTCGGTTTACTAGATGGAGAGAGCCAACGTTCGCGTCCGGTGGCAGGCCTAGTCTCCGAGACTACGGCTGTCCCAAGCCATGATACCACCCAACAAGACAACCAAGAGAAGTCAAAAGAACCCGCGGGGCTCCCGAAGCCTTCTGTGTCTCTGCCTGCAAATGACACAGGAGATTCATTCACAGGAGAGACCAGTTCACCCAGACAGAAGTTTGCTTGTCCTTACCTTCAACAAGACCCGGCGACCTGGGGACAACAACCCAAATGCCGAGGCCCGTCTTTCGCCACCATACACAGGTTGAAGTAAGTAACCACCGAGCCGCCTTGTTTGCTTCTAGAAGCGGATATCCAACATGACGACTGTCTTCAGAGAGCACCTATATCGAGTCCATCAGCAAAGACCCAACTGCCCACGTTGTCGAAGCACCTTTCCCACCCAGGACGAGGTCAATACCCACATCAAGTCAAAGAGCCCCTGCGAATTGTCGCAAGACATAATCATCAGGGGTTTCGATGTTGCGCAAAGGAAAAAGCTGCGATGCAAAAAGCGAAGCTGGGGAAAATCGGGGCAGGAGAAATGGGAAGACATCTTCCGGATTCTCTTCCCGGACTGCAAAGAGATACCAGACCCATGTGGGATGCCGTCACCATAATTGGTGAATATCACAGCTGACTTGGCACGACAGACTACAACCACAACTTCGACGGCGTGGCTCCAGATCCAACCACAGCAGGCAAGAAACGCCCGCTTGACATTGAGAGCGTGTTAACAGACGGGCTTGCGCAAGAGCTGGAGGAAGAGGTATGTAGACAGCTTGAAGGGGTGATAGGATCGCAACTGGACAGACAGAAACGGAAAAAGATGATGCAAGTGGTCGAAACTTTGGTTATCAAGGTACTCCAACAGCCTCTGGTAGCGAAAGATACGAACTCCGGCAAGGCACTGGTCGAAGCGCCCGAGGATGAGCGAAGCTGCAACGAGCAGCAGACTGCCGAATCGAACGCGAAGTCATTTTCAAGCGATTCTTCGCCGCCGACTCAAGCATTGCGTCCGCCGGCTGCCCCTGAGGTGGGAGTCGATTCTCACGACCACAAATCACAAAGTATCTCGGACGGGGCGCTCATCAACACCCCTGAAGAGAAGGGCAACGCCTGGCTTCCTACAGACTTCTATGACTTCGATTTTGGCGATGAGTCGAATTTGCAAAGATGGCCTGGTTGGAACAGTGCTTTTGTTGAGGGGAATGGTTACGAGTGGGCTGCTATCGGTGCTACTGCGTCTCGGATGCCACATTCGAACCAGATATTGGACTGCACGACGGTTCAGGGAAATGGAAACCTGTCACAGAGTGACCTTGACTCCGAGACCTTTGATTTCGGGTTGTCACCGGATAAGTGTGCAGCTGTGTACACGCACCTGACTGTCTTCACCACTCCGAGTAGCGAATAAACTCTCAAGGTTCACGATCCCACATACATCTCCGAAAGAGCAACATAGAATTATTTACTTGCCACCGTGAAACTTGGTCCATATTCGCAACTTGCTATTGCCATCATCTTTTGGCCATTCGCCTTCTTGCCTTGACTCACGACAAAGTCATCACCATGGACAACAACTTCAATTTACCCAAACGTCCCATTAAGCTGCCATTCAACTACCCACTTTCTCAACATTTCAAGAAGTTCTCTCAACTTCCTCCGGCAGTTCAAAAAATGGTATGGACAGAGTTTTATCGCAACCCGCGATATTTTGTCGCAAAGTGGGCACAGTGGTGCGAATTGATCAAGCACGACCAAGACGACGGGAAGCAAGACGACAACAAGGCGGATGGCAGTGACGAAGGCTGCAGCGTGGAAGACAACTACGATGAATATGAGCCGGAAGCCGACGATTCTTCTCTGATGTCCGTATCCAATCATGTTGTCCATCACAGCGGCTGGGAACTTGAGCCCATCAGAACGAAGGCACACTACTACGACGCGATCGACAACACCATCGACCAGATGTCTAGGGATGTTGCCAAGGGCCTCCGACCAAGCCTTCGGCTCCCTGTATGGACATGTTCCACAGAAGATCATCTTGGCTTCTGGTCAAACACATCATCTCACGGCAGAGCTACAGAGGACCCCGTTATCAACTTCGAGTCAGACTTCATCTACGTCCAAAAGACGGGATGGCCTCAGACACAGGCGTTGGTAAGCAAGCGATACCTCAAATGGATGGGCAGCATCCGCAATGTCATCATCGACACCGAGGTCAACTTGCAGGCAGGATCCGAGGACGAAGTAAGACGGGAGGTTGTGAAGGGATTCACGAGAGAGAACTTATGGCGGTGGAAAATGAGGCGCTACCTGCCGAATCTCAAGGTCATACGGCGCGCGCTCACGGACAAGGCACCGCAGCTTCTTAACGAGTGGGCATACTTCCAAACGAGGTACCTGCTTCGCGAGGCACACGACGAGCAATGGCGGAGCATTCGGCATGACATTGCAACGGACAACGGCTGGCTTCCCGGAATGTGTTCGCCCAAGGAACCTCAACGGAAGCCATTTCTCGATAGGTTGCTGAGTAGTGATGCCACAGTTAGAGGTGCTATTCCGCAGGATCTTACACTAGAAGACGACGAGGCTTTGGGGAGCAGGAAACTTTTTGGTGGATTCCTTCAAGCCTTGGTCGATGCAGACGCTGAACAGCGGTAGGTAAGGAGGCAAGTATTTGTGTGCACAGGGGAGAGAGATAATTTTACTGGGAAATCATGTCAATTGATTGACGATCTCCCTTGCTAGAAACGACGATAGTGAGATTAAATTTACCGGTTCGCCCACCCCCAAACAGGCTCCCCTCTCAGTCGCTACCACCCGCTTATCAGCAAGGGACTACCCCCAAGGTCCCAAAGGGGGCGGCCTCTGGGCTGCTGGTTGCGGTTTGGATACCACCTACGTCAGCTGAACCAGCAAACGGCCTTTTCCACATGCAGACAAATCCTGAAGACGGTGAGGGCGGCAGACCGCAGACCACAGAGGGGGGGACCCATTTGCCTAAGGCGGCGGGGCTCGCCAGCTCACTGCTGGCACGCCCTGCGTTGCCAATCAGCCAACCACGAGCCGGCGGGTGGCAGGGGTGTGATGCGCGAAGAGTGAGAAATGCGAAGTTGCGATATTCTTTTGATTTTTCATAAAAACATGAGTTGTGTTTGACCGCTTCCCTGTTGCAATGAGCTAGCTTTCTCTTTCAATTGCGACTCATGAACTTCTTGTGAGAGAGAGCGTCGCGACCGAAGATACACACGATGAGAATGTCACCTACCATCAAGACCGAGGCCGTCACACCGCCGATGGCGGGCCGGGACGAGACTGATGGATTGACGAGCCGAATGTCGGGGCTGGATCTCGACGCCTTCCCCACGCCGCCGACGTTTGGCAAACGGCAGTCGATGGGATCGCCGACGAAGGTCAAGTTTGAGAAGAGCTTTGACTGGAAGAGCGTGTTCAACGGCAAGAAGGAGGTCAAGCATGAGATCGACGACCCCCAGTCTCATGCTTCTTGGCCTGCGCCAGTGCAGTATCCCCAACAGACAGCGCCATTCCCGGCACCGGTGGCGAAGAGCTTTGATTTCTCAAATTTCGGAAGAGAGCAGAGCCCTCAATTCGAAGTATGTTGAAACATGTAACAGTTGAGGCTCGAAATTGACCGTTTGCCAGCTTCCTGCCCGTAGTCCTGACCAGCCTCCGTTCCCCATCCCGCAGCGTTCAACGTCCAAGCACAATCGCGTCAAGTCTTACTCCGGGGGAACGTTCCATTTCGAAGAATGCGGCGCACAGGTCATCACTCCACCTGCTGCCGAGCTTGAAGAGCCGTCACTGGCGCCTCCATTAGCCTGTCCTTATCTCAAGCACGACCCCAAGACGTATGGTCAGAGAAGAGGTTGCAGAGGGGCCTCGTTCACCTCTACGCACAGGTTGAAGTGAGTTGTGTCCCGGAAGATAGATCACCTTATGAATCACCGAGACTGACTTGACTCAAGGGAGCACTTGCACAGGACGCATAGGCAAAAGCCGAACTGCCCGCGTTGTCGCATGACGTTTTCCGCAGAGGCGGACGTGCGAGAGCATCTCAAGTCGCAGAGTCTGTGTGAGGTTCTTGAAGGGGTGTCCGTTGAGGGCTTCGATGAGGTTCAAGAGAAGCAACTGAAAAGCAAGAAGCGCGGAAGGGTTGTGAAGTCCGAGCAGGACAAATGGAAAGAGATCTACCGGATACTCTTTCCAGACAGCAGCGAGATTCCCGATCCTTGTAAGCTTTTTCGCGCAACTTGAGAAGTTTCTTGGTTAACTAACACGCTGTGGTAGTATACAATCTCGCTTTTGACGACACCACCCCGACTGGCCCTGCTCAAGCAGACCACCAAGATGCCGAGGCCATCTTCAAGCAGCCAGTTCCTCGTAAGTTGGAGGAAGAAACGTTATCGTTGATGGAGGACGCCGTCGGTGGCCAGTTGAACACGAAGAAGAGGAGGAAAATCATGGACGTTTGCAAGGATTTCGCCATCAAGATGCTTCGATCGCCAAGGAAAGGCAAGAGTTCCGCGACAAGAAGCAAAGAACTTGCCAGGAAAGCGACAATCACCATAAGCCCCGCCACCCCGGGAAGCCTAGATCGGACACAAGGCTCGCCGGATTCGAACCATCGACCTCGGACATCAGAGGCTCCAGGACCTATGATGATGTTTTCATTAGACGGCACGTTGGAGACGGGTTCGAAGGTGGCTCCGGAGGCGGGGCTCTCGACATTGGACACTCATTGGGCTCTCCCGGAACAGGGAGGATTCGACATGGGGCAGGAATTCGATTTCAGTGACTGGCCGCTGTGGAACCAGGCGCTTGCGGAAGGATCAAGCTACGGCTGGTCCAATGGCGGAATGGGCTCTCCATACAAGATGACTTTTGAGGAAGCTCAGGGTAATTCGGGTAATCAAGGATATGAGGGCGTGCCCTTGTCGAGCTGCGGCGTAACTGAGCAGGGCTCAAGTGTAGATGTTGGTATCATCAGTCATCAAATAGGCGTCACTTCCGAAGCGCTGAGATGAGGAACATGATGCAGCAATAATCAATCACCATGTTCTCGACTTCTTGGGCGATGGTTCCTACATCGAACCCCAATCGGTATTGCGTCGCGGCACTGCGTCAGCAAAGAATCGCAATCATACTCTGTGACTTCACAGCAGCAAGTACCTCTTCTTCAACGATACGCCAATGGGCTTGTGTCGGCTTGCGTCAGTTCCGTAGTCAGAGATCGGTCCATTCTAGCCCAAGGCAGACTGCGGTTGCTGCATGGTGGCTGTAACCTTCTCTCCCGACCATATGAATCAAACTATCTGCAATCTAATACCGCTAGCTGGCCTCATGGCGAACCACCTACGCTTCAGTTGCCTCTGTTCGCCTTGTCGGTGCCCAACAACAATACCGCTGTGTGAATGGCCAGTCGCGCCTCGTGACATCAGCAGTAACCAGGGGTGCCGATTCGCTCAGCACGAGAATTGCGCTCTTGCGCGTTTTCTTCAGGCTTCAATTTTTTTTTTTTTAAATATTATTCCCCCCCCCTTCTTTGGAAATGTAGGACTGAGAGCTAGTGGAAATATATTCTGATGTAGTAAGGGCACGAAAACACAGATTAATTACTCCATTTCCTGGCCACCTCCGCACCCACGATGGATCTCCATTCTGTGCTAAACGATTTCTCGAACAGTTGGAAAAACGACAATAACAGTGTCGACTTCGGGATCAATTACAGCAGCAATTATGGGAATAAGTCTAGCAGCAGCCACAGCAACAACTACGGCAATAATCACGGTGACAACTACAACAATAACTACGATAGCTACTGCAGAAACAACTACAAGAGCAACTATAAGAGCAACTACAGCAGCGACTACATAAACAAGAGCCACTGCAAAAGCCAACAGAAGCGTCAAGATGCCGTTGACGGGTTGCTTGAATCTCGACTAGCGTGTTTAACGATAGGAGAAACTGGTGTTGTGGACGTCGATAGTCGCTCAACAGCTCCGGATGAACCGGCACCAACGTCCAGTCCCAATACTGTTCAAGAGGCGCCAACAAAGTCTCCTGAAGAACCGATATGGCCTGAATTCGGTTTCTCTGATGAGCCGAAGAGCCAGGTTTCGAGAGACAGATTCGGCCATTTGATGCAAAGCCCCTCTTCATCGTCAGATTTCGAATCACCCGATGAGACTTCTTGCACAACACCAGAATCAGATTCAGACAACGAAGCCGACAGCTTAGAGATCCGTCCTACAAGGTTGCCTGACTCAGATGTCTTCGTCAAGCCCAAGATTCCCAAAGAACTCCGACTACTGGTCGATGATAGCGAGAAGGATGATGTCGATGAAGAGGACGCCCGGATGCACTCGGCATTACGGCACACTGGAAGCAGACAAGTGAAAGGAGATTGGACCTCGATTTTGACTTCCCCGTCTCTGCGCCAACCGAGAAGGAAATCCAAGAAAGCAAAAGCAGACGGATCTCTGCTGGCTTGTCCGTATACAAAGCACGACAATGCCACTCAAGAGCAGTTGTATCGATGTCGACGCATGGCCTTTCAAGATACCCACAGGCTAAAGTAAGTCGGTGCAGATCCAACGAAAGTACTTATCGCTGAGAAACTTCAGGGAACATCTCTACAGAGTCCACCGCCAGAAACCACACTGCACCCGATGTGGCGAAATCTTTGCTTCGAAAGCTGACCTGGAGCCGCACTCTCGCTTGCAAGAGGTGTGCAATCTCGCCGAAGCCATCCATATTGAAGGGTTTACTTCAACCCAGGAAGATGAGTTGAAAAGCAAGAAACGCAAGCGTAATTTGAAAACAGAGGAGGACAAGTGGGCGAATATCTTTCGAATCCTATTCCCAACATGTCCCAAAATGCCGGATCCTTGTACGTTCTCGCCATTTCTCAATGCAGTCGCATTCCACAGCTGCATGCTAGAAACAGACTAACAAACGTCAGACTATCGTATTACTTCAGATGATCATCCAAAGGGTTTCACCATGGACCAGAGCGATGTAGAGAGTATCTTCGCCGATGACGTCCCAAGCGAACTGGAGGAGCGTACATTCTCAAGACTTGAAGCTATCAGCGGAGGATTAGACGACGAGCAACGCCGAGAGGTCAAGAGCATTTTCAAAGACTTCACAAGCGAAAGAGTGCGCCAGATCACAGAAAGGACAGATTCGGTCAGCGAAAACGCGGAGACTACGGAACCTCGAGGCGTTCCGTCCCCCGAGAAAAGTCTCCACAAAAATGCCGTCAGTGACGAGACCTTCATCGCAATCGCCGACCCCATTGGGCTTGAGGGACGAATTCTATCGGTGTTGGAGCCAGAGCCGGTGCACGAGGACGTGCCATCTCAACAAGGGTTACCAGGGGCACCCCCTGAGTCCGAAAATGATATGCTTGAGAAAGCTTTGGCGGCATGGAACGAAGCTGCTGTTCAAGGATGGGACTGTGGATTGACGAAGGGCAATGGCCTGAACGGGCTTGTCGGTGCGTCGCACGTAACTCAAAGCGACGTGTCAAACTTGCTATTCGACTTTAATTTCATAGACGACTTTCAGGTTGCGGTCGATGATAACCATCCAGCATTCAACCCGTTTGGTGGATTTCCTTCGTGGCAAGGGGCTTGGAATGGTTCGTTTGCTCATTGAATTCCATAGGAATAATCGAAATGTAGGTTCTTAGTACCGTCTTCAACGCATTTCACGAATACAGAAATTTCATCCTATTTACTGAAGGAATGTTAGTCACTATCAGTACCGCTGTTTCTGTCTCTATATCATTATCTCCAACGTAGTCTCTATATCTGTCGTACCTATCTCTGCAGGTCTCGCTGTCAATCTTGCCCCTGCCCTTGGGCATATCATAATCATATTTTGCAGAATAGAATAGAACGATGATATTCTATCTAAAGAAAGTAGCTCGTAAATAATCACAACACGAGGGATCCCAAAAGACCGACTATCCACCTCCCAACGCCCCTTACAACTCAACGCTCTCGAATCCTTCACTTGTCCTCACCCAAGGATCAAGAAGCCTCTTCAACTCTTCAACATCCAGCATCCCGCTCCTTTCAACACCATCAGCCGTCGTCGATGGAATCAACACCTCATCGAGCACATGCACAACACCATCCCTGGCAGGCAAGTCCCTCACCGAGACCTTCTTTCCATTCACCTCCATCACCAGCCGGCCCTCCACCCCGTGAACACGAACGGAGACGCCAGCCCCCAGCAAAGTCTCATACCTCCCCGGCCAAGACCCCGTCCCCTCGGCGTGATCAACCTTCACATCCGTGTACAGAATCTCACCCACGATGATGTGATACCTCACCAAAGCCCTCAAATACCCTGCTCCCCGCTCTCCAAACAAGAAGCTCTTGACTTCGTCCCCAATCTTATCCCAAGCCTCATCCGATGGCGCAAACACAGTCACACCCCTTCTCCCCTCCAAACCCGTCTCTTCCCCAACGCCCGCCTCCTTCAGCGCCCTCGAGAAGACACCCAGCCGCTCCGGTAACACATCAACAAGTCGATCGAACCTCGGTGGCGGGACAAGCACATCATCAACGAAGTGCACGACTCCATTCCGAGCCCGCTTCTACCATCCCATCAGCCCCATGCAATCACAGACATCACACAGAAAAGCACTTACAGACTCATCCCCCAAAAGCCGGCTATAAAAGTTCAGCACGACATCCTCTCCGCCACCGCCTACCCTCAGCCTCTGCCGGCGCCCCGTCCCGGGTTCCTCCAACACCGTCGGCACGGTCTGCATCCTCCGAAGGGCATCGACAGAGTACACCCCCTCGAGGACATGGTATTCCACCATCTCACGCACCAGCGCCTCGCTGCTCTGATCCATACCCAGCTTTTTCAACGCCTCGTCGGTGGGCATGAAGACCGTGAACGCCCCCTTGGCATCGGCAAGCCTCGACCGAAGGGCCTCTTGTCCGCGTAGCAGCGCCGCGAACCGCTCGTGTCCGCTCTCCTGGATGATTTGGTAAACACTCTCCGCGAGATCTTTCTCCGGCACCGTCTCGTAGCGGTAGATTTGCGCTCCGGCCTCGACGTCGTCGGTGGGGCTCGTGCCGGACCATGTAAGTCTCCTCGCCGCCGCGCCAAGAACCCGTCCGAACGAAGATACAACCCCGTCGGCGTCCAGAACAGAACTCCATACGGAAGCACTCGTAGCCGCTTCCGCAGCAGGAGAAGCCCCAGGCAAAGAAACAGCCGAAGCCGCAGCCGCCAGCGGCACCAGCGTCCCAGCAATCCTCATCTCTGCGTTCTCTCCTCCTTTATCCGGGATGTCGTCGTCGTTATTGTTGTTACCGCTGCTTAAAGGCAAAGAAGAAGACCGAACGCGCCCAATCAATACCTCAGACAAATTCCTGCGCAGCGTTCTCGAAGGCTCAAAGCAGACACGCACCCTTCGCCCCATGGAGAAGGAGGAAATCCAACGTCACTTATATATGTACACACACAGTCTCTCAGCACGAAAGGCGATTTCGTAACAGAATCGAACAACAGGAGCCTTGAGACAAAGAACCCACTCGGTTTTCTACAAAAAGAATAATTCAATGGGTTCTGGGGTTTGGGGACTGCCGGAGCGCCGCTCGCCGCCTCTTCCCGGTCGAGCGTGGCCATCCGGGTCCGCAGAGCCCCCGCGACCCAGCACACGTTGACGTCGCAACGCGGCGTGTGAGCGGTTGCGCTTTCCATTATAACGCAGAGTAAAAGTGCTTGTAGATTGCACTGTATTCGGTAAGAGTCATTTCTCTGCATGATGGGTTGGGACAACAAGGTTGTTGGTCGGCTCTCAGATGCTGGCAGATGAACGCAGCCAAGCCTGCGTTTAATCCACATGCCCGCCTTCTTCATGACTCCCGTCAAGCCTGTGACCGTCAAAACGTGAAATTCTGTAAACCGGGGGCGAGGATCCACGTCAGATCCCCGTGCTACCTCACACCCGCGGGCCGCCAAAGCCGCCCACGACCCTAACATCGCCAACATTGCCCTTTGTCCTCTCCGCACCCTCGAACGCATCCACGACCCTGCCCGCCCTCACGTCCACCGCCGTCCACCGCTGCTCCCTGCACCGTCTCACCCCGGGTGCGGCCCCTTCCTCCCAGACGCCCAGCTCGTCGAGCAGGACCTCAACGACCCACGTATACCGCACGCCGCCGCCGCCGCCGTCGCTCCGGTCAGGCGGCGCGTACAGCCTCTCCGCGTCCTCTCTCGTGCGCGGGACCTTGGTGCACAGCAGGTGCAGGTCAAGCAGCTGCGCGAAAACGAGGCCGAAGGTGGGCTTGTTCCGCCGCGCGGCCGCGTGGCCGGCGTAGCCTGGTATGTCCAGCTGGGGCGGGTTGAAGACGGACCGCAGCGTCGCGGCGAGGGGCTTGCTGCTGCTGCTGCTTCTTTCGTCTGGTGGTGGTGGTGCTTCGGAGGGGGGCATCGGCGGTGGCTCCGTCAGCGTCCTGCTCTTTGAGGAGCTGGTGCTGTTGAGGAGCATGATGAGCGGGCTGCTAGAGAGGTTGCGCGAGAGGTAGCGTAGGAAGGCAGATAGGGACTGCAGCCCGTCGTGGGCCGATGCCCTGTCGCGTCCGGTGAAGAGGGCCGTCATGAGGGTGGAGAAGTGCGTGATGAGGATTATATCCGGGGGCGCGGGGGGTTCGGCTTCCATCCTCGGGCTCCTGCTTCTTCTGTGTTGGTCTTCAAGTGGCTGCTCTGGAGGCGTTGGTAGCTTCTCTTCCTGAACGGTGAAATCTCCCATGCCGGGGTCCTCGTGGGAGTCGGATTTCTCGTCGTCTTCAGGGACAACGACAGGGTCGGGTGTAGCTAGCATCGAAGCCATTGACGAGGGCGGCGGCGACAGATCCGACAGCTCTGAAGAAGACGGCGCGGGCGCTTCATCGTCCTTGTCCTCGTTGATGTCGCCGTCCTCGCCATCGCTGATGTCATCCTCCTCACTGTCCGCAATCTCCGTCCTCACCGGCCTCCGCTGCGGCGACTCATACACAGGCTTCAGATCCGGTAAAGTAATCCTCTCGGGCTCCGGTGAAGCGACCTCCTCCTCCTGCCCCTGCGACGCCAGCAGCACCTCCAGATCCCCCTCCGGCTCCGGCACCAACGAGGCTGCTTCAGAAACCGGACTCCCCGGCGGAATGTCCAGATCGCCAAGCACCTCCCACAAACCCTCCAAATCAAACACCCTCGTGATCGACACTCGCTCCAGACAGGAAACAAGCCTGCCCCTCACCTCCGCCCCCGCAACGCCGCGGGCCGCGAGCTCCGCCTTGACCGCATCCCTCAGCGCCGGCAAGATCGCAGCGGGCGGCTGGGCCGTGACGACCATCGCCCTGCTCATCTCGCCCTCACTCCCGCAGAGCTCCGTCGCCAACGCCTGCAGCGAAATCTTTTCAATCGCCTCGAGTCAGCCCCCCAAAAACCACTGACAACATGTGCAGAGAAACTCACCATCAACCCCATCTGCTCGCTCTCGGCACTAATCCCAACCACGCTCCCGCGCTCCAGGCCTCCTCCCATGAGCACATACTCATCCACCTCGCGACACCCGACCCTCACCGGCCCTCTCTTCTTCAGCGCGTCCCGCCGCTTCGTCTCCCGCCGCAGCAACACGTCCGCCGAGACCGGTTCAATCGGGAAATGCGAGCTCGCCTGCGATGGTATCATCGTCATCCCACCGCCCGCGCCCGCAGTATCCTCGTCGCCGTCCATGGTGTGTTGTTGTTGGGGGCGTAATGGTAATGTAAGGTACTTTCCCCCGACCCCGCTCAGCGCCGCCGCTCAGCTTCGTACCACTGCCGTCTTCGGAGAAAATAAGGAGCAAAATCATACCGCGTCATTTCCGAATATTGTCCTGTGGCGACAATTTTCTCCAGCCCGCCAGGCGCGTGATTGCTGCTCAGCTCGAACCTGACGATGCAGTGAGGATGTCACTGGACAGGTCACATGATGGAAGAGCCAAATAAGGTTTCGGGGAAGCTGGGGGCGAGTCCCCCGTCGCCATCTCGATCAGGTCTCGGCGCAGACACTTTGGACAGGCATGTCCAGCCACCCTCAATGACATCATTCCCTTTTCTTGCATGAAATCTGGGCGTGGCACACCTCCATCTCCCCTTTGCTGAGATAACAAAGCCCCTTGCAGAGCATCCTTGCATGAATGACAAGTCATGCACATGCACATTAGCCTTCCGTATCAATGGGCTGATCCCTCGTTCCAAAAATATCATCACACTCACTCAGATACTGCTGTAGGGATGAACACAATCCGAGGCCAAATAGTCTCAATTTTTTCAATAAAGGCTAATTCATAACAATCTGCCGACGGACTGTTGGCTGCCTGCTCTATGCTATCCTCTTGTGTAATATGCCTCTCCTGGGCCCAGAATACTTGTAGCAAAAGAGGCGGAAAGACGGGGGACCTATTCCCCCTTAAAGAAATATGATTATCCACGAAAGGTATCACAATACGCCAGGCAGCTCCTGAAAAAAGGTGCACTGCATTGGTGCAACCTGTCCGCCCTGGCCTTCGTAGTTCTCGTCCCGATGGCTTTCTCCAATATCCACCCAAACCAATTCGAGATCCCACCCAACCACTACTCTTCACTCCTGCGGGTTCCAAAGTGATTGCTGCACAGATACCGTTGTGATCGAGCTCATTATCCGGTTTAGTGTGAAATGCTGCTGTGTCGTCTTTTGTTCAGAAGGGAATCGTGGCTCTTCTGGTTTTATTCGACCCAAGCGCGACTGACTGCTTGTCTGAAAGATAAATGTGGGCTACACGCTCTTGCTTTTGCGCGTCATCGCCTTGACGTTTAGACGCTTTGTTCTTCTCAGCTTCCTAAGGCCTGCGTCTCCACTAGGCAGCAGTTCCAGGGGCCGGAGGAGCCATGGCATCAGAGGCCTGGCGTCTGCGTCCTCCCTTCAGACTCTTGACTCGGGACAGGAAACCTCCGGACGACTTGCCGGGGGCCTCCTCGGTGGGCGACTTGACGTCAGTAGTGTTGCGACGCTCGAGGGCATTGGCAGAGCCTCTGCGGGGGACCGGCGGAGGGGTTCCGGGTGACTTGGCGCCGTTGTCGGTACGCTTGACTGAGATGCTCTCAGGCTCCTTGCCATACTCGGAGAAGAACGGGTTTCGCTCGCTCGTGTACGAGATGCTGGTGGAGGGCCCAGCACTGTCAGGAGACCTACGAGAGTGGTAAGCACCCTCTGGATTCGTCATGCGGCCAGCAGGTCCGTACTCGCGAGGCTCCCTCTTCATGCCACGGATACGCTGAGCGATGGACTTGTTGCGCTTCAAGCCGTCGGCCTGGCTCTGCTGAGCCTGCTCTTGCTGGGTGCGCTGGATCGCAGTGCGTGCGGCGGGGGTTCCCTCGAGGAAGGTCGAGGTACCGAGACCCATGCTCTCCTCGCCGTGGAGGATAGAGCTGCGGGCTCGAGGATCGAACACGGCCGGCTCGTTCTTGTGCTGTTGGTAGGGATCTCTGGCTCCAGCGGACGCAAAGTCAGCAGACGCGTCGCCGTCATTGTTACCCATGAAAGTGGCGTGGTCGGGACGCTTGTTGAGGGGTCCGGCTCCGCCCAAAGACATGTTCAGCGAGTCCTTGGCGAAAGCCTGCATCGGGGCGCGGCGGCTGCCCTTTCGGTTGCGGTGGGGGTTTGCGGCGTCGAATGGGCCATCGTGGTGGAACACTGAAGTCGTTAGTATCGAGACATGGATCCAAGAGGTTCTGACCTACATCCGGTGCCATAGATGCTAGTGGCGTCCAATTGATCAATCACATCAATCCGGCGGCTGGGCTTCTTGGGGTCCTTCTCCTTTCCTTCGCGAGCGCGGCGCTCCCTCTCACGACGTCTGGCCTCCTTGGCCTTCTTCTCCTCGTCGGTAAGCGGCTTTTCGATGTCAATCAGGAGCGAAGAATCCGAGTTCCGGCGAGGGCGACGCTCCTGAGGTCGTCGCTGCGGGGAGCCTGGAGGCCCAGAAGGTCGGGGCGGGCCGCCGCTAACGCTGCCGTTGCCTTGCATTCTGCGCTGTCTCATCGCCTCCTCTTGGGATCTCGAGGGGCGGTGGCCGGGAGGCGGGGGACCACGGCGACCGGGGCCAGGAGGGCCAGGCGGGCGGTTTGCGGGAGGTCTGCTCCCTTCGGGGCGTGAAGACTTTTTATCGTCGATGTTAAGGCCGTCCTGTGATGAAGGTTGTCAGTCAACTCTGCGACGGTCGCAATCGCAGCGACCGGTAAAAGCGTGTTCAGATTGAACAGTGCCCGAGTCGTGCAGGTTGGGCACTTACGAAAAGCTCCTCAGCGGTCGGCGAGGACGCCTTTGGGTCCAGCGTTGGTGCCATTGTGCCTGCTCCGATCAAGTTTGGTTGACTAGACGAATATGATGGATCGAGGAATGGATTGCGCGAGACTGGGCGAGGAGGAGGGTCGTCAAAAGGCGAAGCGGGCGAGGTGGTATTGCTATAGGTACCGCCGGAGAGGAGTGGGGAGGCGGCGCGGTTGCGAAAGGGGTTGTTGGAGGAGAGATTGAGTGTTAAGCCGGCCGACCTGCTAGGTTGGTGACCTATTCCAAGGAAGTAAAGTCAGTAATAGACAGGAGAGAGACGGCACCGTGCATGCGAATGACGGCGAGGGGGATGGGATATGAAACAAGAGGGCCGTCTACATGACACAGCAGGTTCGACGATTGGGTGGAGCGGGCGTGGTGCTTGCGTTTGCTTGGGCGGCAGTGCAGGCCGTAAAAAGGGCGGCTCTCCTCCCGTTGGACAGGGCAAAAGTCAAAGGGGGAAAAAACCTGGGAAGATGGTGGCAGACAGGGAAGAAAGGGGTTGTGGTGGGTGGGAGCGGTGCCAGGCGCATATCAGTGCTTGATGCTTGGCTTACCTGGCTGTGCTGATTGTGCCGTTGACATTTTGGCGGTTGTGAGGTGTGGCACCCGTGCTTTTTGACGGGAGGGATAGATAATGAGGATGGACAGGCGGCGTAGTATTGAACTCAAGGGATCGGCCTTTTTTCGCGGGTAAAAAAAGGGGAGCTGGCCGAGAGAGCACGAGAGTCGTTGCTAGCAAGCTTGGTTTTCGTTGGCCTAAATGCCCGCTCCTAGCGTCATGCCTCTGCAGGGACGCCAAACAACGGGATTTTTGGGGGCCACTCGACGGTTCCTCGGCAGGTGTGCAAGCAAGCTGCAGGCCAGAGTGCGGGTGGTGCGGTCGCGGGAGTCGGGACCCGGAGAAGGTCGACCTGGGCAGTTGGGGATCAAGGCGTGGGCCTTCGGAGCGAGCTACCGCTTGGAAGGGGGAACAATCCGAAAAGGAAAGAAGAAAAGAAGGATGAAAAAAGGGGTGCGCGGTGACGACCGAAGGTAACGTCGAAGAGCCCAATAACAATTGAATATCGTATGTGGTGTAATGCAACTGATGCCGGCGTGCTGATTCTGGACGGTGGATGGATGGATGGATGGATGGTTTATTCAGGGCCCCTTTGGTTCGGAGGGGGGCTGATGGATTATCGGATGGATTATCGGATTCAGGGGGAGATTGCTGGTATGCTGGTTAGCGACTGGATTAGCTAGGAATTTGGGTGGTAGGGCGGTGGATCTGGGGATCCATCCACGAGCGAGGTTGAAGGGGTTTGGCTGCTTGGGGCGGAATTGGGGGTTTATTTTTTGGGGGGATCGCGAAGGATGGGTGACGCCTGAATGGGTGAACTGGCAACCACACCACGAGGTGCCATGCCGGTGGGCCAGAAAAGGAAGTGCAAGCTCACCTTCTTTTTCTCGTCCCTCTTGCTTGCTTTTTCTGTTTTCCTTATCCGGGACGCTGTAACACGTCTTTTTCGTGGAGCGAATCGGGCGGCTTAATATGCTGGCGATCCACGCTGGGGAGGCGGGCGATCGAAAAATCCAGATCTCACAGAAGACTGCCAAGCGCAGATTTCGCGTGCCTGTGTTTGTATGCTGCGCTGCCGTGCCGTCGACTGACGGTCGCTGTGTGCGTGTGTGACGGTGACCTGCTCGGTGCGCCTGCAACACGGACCCGGATCGACCCAACTTCTTGGTGCCTGCGGTCAGTTCAAGTCGGACGAAGGACCCAACGGGGTTGCGTCGTGAGAAGACAAGGCGGCCGTGCTGCCAACTCTGTCTCGGTGCGGTTGACTGGGATGGGCTTGCGTCTCGTCTCGGAGGTGGCCCGTTGGAGCCGGTTGTCTTTTTTTTTATCTCGACCCTTCTTGAAGCTGCGAGGGAAGCCGCCGGGGTAAATGCGCGTTGTCGGCTACGATGCGGTAATGTTTCTGCTGCGTGGTTCCTGTTCGGTAATAGAGTGGAAAA